TATTACCATATTGCTCAATACACCACTTGTATTTATAATTGTAAATTTGTTACCCTTGGTTTTTTTACCCGTACACAGACACCTAGGGTTTTCACTGTTAAATCTTTTGGCATATTATTATTAGTAACCTGGTGTATTAATATATCTTGTATAAGCTTTTTTGCTGGGAACCACCACAAGTCCGCAAACTGATTTCATGGCTCACCGTGTGATACGCTCCAAAGTGTCCGTATCCGTTTGGAGTGAGGGAGGAAATATTATGTTTCCGTACCCTAAATAAAGACAAATGAAGCTTTTGAAGTTTATGAAGAAAATTTTTCCGTCAAACTGGTCAAACATGCGCTTCAATTTTGTCAGTGAAAGGTTTTCTTGAAAGGCATTTTTATCACAGCTTAAGACTTCGAATCGTAGAGTACCAGCACTTTTAGAAAGGAGTTTCCTAAGTTGTAACTGTAGATTACAACATGTCTCAGATGGACTACTTTACACTTCGAAATGTCATTTGCCCAACTTCAAAGTCGAGTCACATCCTCCTGAAGTGCCCATTTGTCCTCTTGGTCGCGTATTTCTCTGCAAAGTTTCACATCATCAGGAAAATGTGAGAAGTCTAACGATACCTATTAAGTAAGATCATTTATATAACTCAAGAAGAGAAGAGGTCCTAGTGCCGAGCCCTAGCGGACCCCACTAACACATTCCATAACCTGAGAGAAAGTGAAGTTAAAAGTGAGCCTGAAATATGGATTTTTAGACCTGAAGTGGGCCAATCAATAAATGGTGATTTGATACTTAGTAGTTTGGGCTTATTGATAAGACATATAAAGCTGACCATGTCAAGGGCTTTTGAGAAGTCGAAATACATCATGTAAATCTTCCTCCTGCGGTCAGCAACGGTTGTCATCTGTCCACTGCAGTCAACAGGTTGGTTAAGCGTTAATAAAGGAAAACGAAAACAGTAAATCATAGTCAGATATTATTCTTAGTCCTTAAGAGTATGTCAAATTTCTTCTTAGACGCCTATACTCTAATGGGAAAAAGTTTGGTGATCGAAGACGCTCTTCATAAGGCTTGAATTCGAGTCCTCGAACTCCTTTCCTGGCCCGCTGTTTTAATGTCTGAGAGTACTGCTCAGCCAGAAGGCTAACGACATCACCGTCGCTGTTGGTCGGGCTATTAGGTCCCAACAGTTGGTAAACTTCAGTTTGGGCTTGTCGAAGTGAGGCTGTATAACGAAATAAGCCTTTCGGGTTGGAGACAAATTTATCGCTAACTTTTATCTGGTACTGAAACCTGTCTTCTCTTTTTACCTTTGTACATATATTCCTTATATGTTCGCATTGCTGTATGCGCCGTTGTCATCAGTTCGTTTGTATTCTGCCCAACAGTGCTTTTTACGGCTTAGCAAACGAAGAGTGTGGTTTTTGGTGATGTAGGTTACTCGTAGATTTTGGGGACTATTTGAGGAACAGACGGCTTTGTAGTACATAAGTTCGTGTGAACGCGCGGTTCAAGTGCGACGGCGTCTGACTGTTTCTTCAGCGAGTTGCAGACTTCATATTTTCGAATAATACCAGATCTTCAATGAGGTTGAAGGACCGAGCTTCAGTGGGATTTTCACTTCCGATTTATTTTTGCTCCACGAAATTGACCTCAGGAAGATTGAAGTCTTTTAGAATCAAGATATGAGTGGATCCGAGACGAGTAGAGCGAGATAATCCTTCCGGCATACGATTGTCGTACATAATATCAGCGGTGGCCTTTCTGCAAACGAATCCAACTAGACACCTCGAGGTAATAAACAACCTTAGTGAGCACCTTGCGGATTCATCAAGATTGTTAAACTCTTGGTTGCGCACATGATGTAACTTCAGGCATGGTCGCAAGTACAAGGCTACCTTACACCCATTCCTGTTTTTCTCTCTTTGTGAAACAAAGATCCTGGGCATTTCTGGCTCCTTTCCATAAGTTGGGATATAAAAGTTTCAGTTATTCCTATCAGATGATCATTATTAACATTTCTGAGTTTATGCAGCGCAACCATTTTATTCAGTAAACTCGTGGCGTTTATATGTAGGCAGTTTATGCCTTCAATTTGAAATGCGTTAGCTTCTCCTTCCTGTTTTCCTGTATGGGCCTCATGTGAATTGACAGATAACCTACCCATATTGTGTTTTCCGAGTTGGTAGCTCAAGTTCTTGCTACGTTTTTTTAATGATTTTGAAAGTCAACAAGTGAGATGGTCAGCTCCAACTTGCCTTTGTGTTTGATCCTGGCATCATGTGGCCTATCCGGATGCATATGAATTCCAGTTGGCATCCGACGTCTGTTGGTGGGGATGCTTCCAGAGTTGTAATCGCCATAGGCGAGGGTGGGAGGGTAATAATCACCACCTGAGGTCTAGAATACCCGTTCTTTTTGGCTACTTTCACCACTTGTCCAGTCAATATGTTTTTGAGCTTCAAGGACTACTTAAAGAAATTCCATTCCCCAATATCAGAGTTTGTGTGGTCAGGGTCCGTGATTTTGGTACACTTTGCATAATGATATTTCTTCCGCGGAAAATCTCGTGGAATTCTCGACAAATGTTCCTGAGGAAATTGTGTTCAGAATACTATATATCAGGTAGTATTCTTCCATTCACATCTGATTTCAGTTAATGGCCAGCAAGCAACACATTCTCTACATCGGCAGCGTTAATGAGGGTTTAGTAGTCCTGGGTGACTTTGGTGCTTAAATTTCTTTTTCCGAGTGATCCGTTTAACCGTAAAAGAAAAGTTTGAAACGTTCGAGCTTCCTGTTTAACTCTTTCCCGAGCATCCTGTCATTTCCGTCTTGCAGCCGAGGGGAAAATCAGTGCAGTGTCTAAGGTTCATGCTTATGAGAAATCCATCGTGAACGTGATTGTTTTCCCAGATTTTTGAGTACGTTTGGTGGTTGCAGCGCGTTTCATATTCTTGTGTTCTTCTCTAACCGGCTGTACAGGCTTAGGGGTAGACTGTACAACCAGATCGTCAGTGAAATTCCTAAACGGTGGCACCGGTCTCTTTTAAATTTGTTGACATAAGTCCAATAGTCTACAGAGTTTTTAGGGATTACCGTTGACTTCAGAGATCCTGATCTGGGAGACCCATGTTTGCTGAGGGAGTCTAGTACCTTCGATGGTATGTACTTATTAGTATCATTACGTGCTCCGTCGATGCTGGCGTTTCCGAGGTACCTCTTCTTTTCTTCACCACACGTCTTTGTTCGTTTACCCGTTTTAGAACTGTCTTTTTCCAGGTTTGTTGACAACTTTTTCCGCAGACCTGTTAAGTGAATGATGTTGCTCGTCAAAACTTCAGCATTCATGTTGCATGTGCCACATAATCATATACGATCCGTCTTGACAGCGTGGTTTACTTTATGACTGTTGACCTTTGTTGGGTTAGAAAGGTTGCTTGAATCCTTGTACACAAATATCTGACCCGATCATTTTGTGAATATTTTTTACTGGTTCTCAAGAGAAAGATTCGTATCGTAATAAATAAGTGGTCGTTACTAAACAAGTATACTTGTATCCAGATAGCTCATCAGGTGTTGAGTTAACAAACAACTTTCATTGCTCTTGCAGTTCCTTAGTCATTAAATGTACGGTCAGGTTGGTTAAAATTTTCCAAAATGATGAATTTTTGTCGACATGCATACTAAATTTTCACCTATTTTCCCGATACTTCCCTTGAGTTCTCCTTTATTTTTCCCTTTCTGTTTAGGTGGAATTTTTCAAATGTTTAGAAATTTGTCAAGAATTGCTTTTGTGAGTTTTAAACAGATTGATTTGCCTCATTCCGGTCAGGTCATTATCACCTACAAACAGTCCTCATAACTTGCGATAAAACATTAGGGTAATCGCACTTTGCTTCGGGTTCTGGTGACATCATTTCCTAGACACATAAACCATGTAGCTGAAAATACAATAATTGGGGTTGGTATTGGATCTGAACACTTGAATAAAGTCAGTGTAACAACCGAAGTCCTAATACTTGGTTTGAACGCAGAACTAACGAACCAAAATCTATTTGATTACACCAGACTACGTTCTTCTGTATAACGTACGAGGCGTTTTTGAGTTACTGGTATTTAATCATATCAAAACACAAAATCTGTGCTCAATTCCAACGGTTCTAAATTACAAAATAGAACTAATTATAAAAAAATTACAAAATATTTCAAACGGTACAGCCTACGCTATACTATCAAGCGCTTCTCTAACACAAATTAGCGTGCTAAGCAAAAAAGAAACAGTTAATACAAAAAAGTTCAATATCTGAGGAACAATAAGAATATTCCCGACAAGATGGGGTCGTTTATCTACCTGTAGTGATTCCAAAAACCTTTCCAAGCAGACAGTCAGAGGTTTACAGTGACACACTAAACCACGCTGTGAACTTGAGCTTAGTCAAACATGACCTTATTGTCAATAGTCCGGCAACATGCAACAGGAAATTAGGTAACAAAATAAAAGTTCATATTCAAAATCACACAATAATAGCCCAGACAAAAAAGACTGAAAAACTCAAATCTGAAAAAAGGTTCAAGTACACGACCGGGATAAGAAACAAATGAATTACAGAAATGTACAACAAAAATGCTGTGGAGGAATTTTCAGCGTTTTCTTTCCGTTAACGTTAGTAAGCATGTAAAACATGGTAATCAAGCGTTAACCAATCTTTATGGCCAGATAAAAGTAAGTTACACATTTGCGATGAGTAGAATAGGGTGTGCACACACATACGCTCATCAAAAAACAATCAGAACAAATAAGCCAAAAAGTGACAAGGTCAAATGTGTTTTAAGAAGAATGAATAAATTAACTTGTCCGGAAGCAACTGACGTTTCACCATCCTCTACAAATCTGTCGGCCTCATCAGTGTACTGGTTAACACATTAGATGTAGTAACCAGAATGGACATTGTGGCTTTTGTGTAAACAAATGACACGTGATGCAGTTAACAATTCCGTGGATGGGGATTAATGGCCAGTCAAACCGTAAATAGTTAGTCTTTAAAGAATCCGAAGCACTGAACATACCTCTAGTTAGGGGCCGTTGATCAAGCATCTGCACCAAACTACATTTAGGTAGGCTGTGCTGGGCGTCTCTTACAAAAACTAGTCGGCATGGATCAAATACTTTTAAAGGTTTTGACCGTTTTCCCAGCATATATTCGAACCTTCTCATTCCTGTCTTCTGGTTTGACCGAACTCGAGATCTTCGATCCTAAAAAAGTTAAGACAATAATGTCGTTTAGCACCGTATATTTTTGCTATTGTTAAGATTACCACACCCAAGTAACCTCTTAACAGAACAAGACAGATGATCGGAGCCGTAAAATAATGAGAAGTCGGCAAAAATCAGTTACATAGGCGTAACTAGAATTTTCGCTCTAGTCCAGTTTGACTGACTACAACCCAAACGGAGATTTGTGAATTTATGAATTTATTCCAAGGTTGAATATGGGCCTTCTGGTTATGCTAAACGCTTCGGCAGTTGATAGAGACTCAGACGGTTGGATGCAAATCTGTCCACCATGACGTACAGAGGTGAGGTCTGAATTTAAAAAATTCGTTTAGCCCCTAAATATCGGCTCAACTCTTGACACACCTCCTAGACCAATAAAGAGCTAGATACCTGCAAAATGCCAGGAGTATGTGGCCTGGCATATGAAATGATACATGAAGGCTATATTTGTGTACACTATCCGTCTACAGATTAAGAGAATATTTTATTTTGAGTTATTGAATACTAAGAAGTGATCTTGGATCAGTACAGTTCAGAAAACATAGCTGACGATTTTTCTGATTTTATAAGTAAAATATCCCGGTGAGGTACAAGTTTTCTATCAGATTCATGAATTCTTTGGACGCACTACTAAGAGAAGTTGGATTCAATTAACACGTCCTTGAGATTAAGCACTCATAAAAGCTTACTTGAAAGGGATTAACAAAATATATCAAAAATATTCTTTGCATACTATTCTGGAGCCTAGTCAAACTCTGTTTGAAGAAGAAAATGAACATAAAATTTCTTGCTTTTGTTATTGTGACATTTTCGCGCGCTTTTCGAACGGGAAGTTTAGTCCTAACGTGGTTTGCATTTCTCAAACTTTTGCTGTGTTCTTACGCAACAAAAGTACCATTTCTGATCTAAACAATCTATTCTGAGCTACAAGTTCGGTAGATTACTTTTTTTTGAGTTTCACCCAATTTAATAGTTAACTGCGGTTTTGCCTCAGCTTACTATTCGGTTTATTTTCAGTTTTTCACGTAAAGGCTATTTCATTTTATCTCATCCGTTTTTATACATTTTTCCCGTTTTAGTGTGGTTTTTAGTGTATTTTTAACGGTCTTAAGCACAGTTTACGTAAATACAGCCATGAAAAATTCATGTAAAAGACCTGGATGCCGTTTCGCTGTTACATCTGGCATGCAGTGTGACAACTGCAAAGGTTGGTTTCACGAAACGTGCACAGATCTTACGGCAACGGCTTACAAAAGACTCAGCAAATCGGACCGTAAGTGGGTGTGCGTCACGTGCAACACGGACGCTGTAGTGCTGCTGAGCAATATCATTGTTCTACTGACAGGTCTGCGGAACAAATTGTCAGTAAACTTGGAAACAGATAGCCATAAAATAGGTAGGCAAACGAGGGCGCGTAACGAAAATAAGAACAGGGATGTTGACAAGTCAACCATCGATGGAACGCGCATTAGCACTAATGATGACATGTTGAAACTCAGCACCATCATTACGTCGACAATAATTGATTCCCTCACTAAAATTGGATCTCCCAGTTCAGGGTCCTCAAACGCAACGGTGGTTCCTAAAAACTCGGCAGGTGACTGTAACCACGCCATCAGAGCTAATAAGGACCAGGTGTCACCGTCCAAGGTTGACATCCCAAGTGTTGTACGGACATCAACTGGTGCTTTGATCGCTCAGTCTACCCCCAAAAATGTCCGCCCGGTTATTAAAAAGCCTACGATTCAAAAACCTGCTTCGACCTCCAAACAACAACGTACTGAATCTGAACGCACTGGAAGAGCTGGGAAAACAACAACGGTCCGTGATGACTCCCTCATAATCATGAACCTCATAGACAATCCTGACCTTCCTCTCAGTTTGCAGGACAAAAATGACAGGATGCTTTGGGGTGAACTGAACAAAAAGCTCGAACTCCCTAGAATAGAGCCTTTGACGGTCACACGGCTCACTCGGGGAAAGGATTCTAAACACCAAAATCATCCGAGACTACTCCGTGTAACACTCAAGAATGCTACCGAAGTAGAGGATGTCCTGCTGGCCAGTCATCTACTGAAATCCGATGGGAACGTCAGAATACTGCCTGACATACCGTATTCTGAGCGCAATCTCATCCGAAACGTCCCTAAAGATTCTCGAGAGAAGTTTATCCGCGGAAGAAATATCATCGTGCAAGGTGTACCGGAAAACATGGACCCTACTCAAGCAAACTCTGACATTCGGGAATGGAAATTCATCAAACAGTCCTTGAGGCTTAAAAACATACTGTCTCAGCATGTGATGAGACTAGCCAAGAAGGATGGGGATCCTAGACCCCGACTATTGAGGATAACTTTTCCATCCTCCCATATGGCGGCTGCAACTCTGGAAGCATTTCGTGTCAACAGACGTCGGTTGCCAACTGGGATCCATATGCACCCGGATAGGCCATACGACGCCAGGATCAAGCACAAAGGCAAGCTGGAACTGACCATTCCACTTGTGGACTGTCTTCAAGACAAAAAAAACGTGTAAAGGACAGGGCCTACCAATTAGACAAAACTTATATAGGTGGGTTACCTGTCCACTCACGCAAGGCTCTCATAGATAAACAGGAAGAAGCTCACGCGTTTCAAATTGAAAGCATTAACTGCTTATACATGAACGCCGCGAGTCTACCAAATAAAATGGATGAACTAAGTGAACTCAGCAACGCTAATAAAGTTCATCTGATAGGAATATCTGAAACTTGGATATCTCCTCAGTATTCGGACCAGGAGCTAGCAATACCTGGGATGTCTCTGTTTCGCAATGACAGAAAAACAGGAATTGGGGGTGGAGTAGCCCTATACATAAGATCTGGCCTGGTGGTACATCAAATCCACAACCACGAGTTTGACAATCTTGAAGAATCCCTATGGTGCTCTATGAGATTGTCCACTACTTCGAGGTGCTTAGTCGGAGTCATATATAGGAAGCCCACTGCCGACATCGAGTATGACAGTCGCATGCTGGAGGGACTATCCCGCTCTACGCGTCTCGGCTTTACTCATATCCTGATTCTAGGGGACTTCAATCTTCCTAGAGTCAACTTCGCGGAACATATGTATACTGGAGGTGAAAATTCAATCGAAGCTCGGTTCTTCAACCTCATTGAGGACTTGGGACTACACGAAAATGTGAAGTCGCACACTCGTTGGAGAAACGGTCAGACACCGTCGCGCTTAGACTGTGTTTTTACAAATGAAGAATTTCTAGTCGACAACCTCTCAATTCTGGCTCCCCTGGGGAAGAGCGATCACGCCGTTATAGCCTTCAGTTTCGTCAGCAAAACGGAGCTAAGATATCCCGACAACAACAGGCGCTGGAACTTCAAACGGTTGAATACGTCAGCTCTACAGGATTATCTACAACAGGTGGATTGGGATGTTCAACCTCAACTTGATGTGGATGCTCATTGGGACTCCTTACTGCGCACGCTCTCATGTGCTACTAAGCAGTCAGTTCCTCAAACGGTCCCCAAAAGGCACAAGCAACCTACAATCATCAAAAAACGCACTCTTCGTTTGCTAAGCCGTAAAAGGCACTGTTGGGCAGAATACAAACGAACCAACAACAACGGCGAGTACAGGCAATACAAACATATAAGGAACATATGTACGAAGGCTATAAGAGAAGACAGGCTTCAGTACCAGTTAAAGCTTATGGACAAATTTATTTCCAATCCGAAAAGCTTATTCCGTTATGCAGCCTCTCTTCGTCAAGCCAAAACTGGAGTTTCTCAACTGCTAGGTCCTAACGGCCCGACAGATAATGACGGTGACGCCGCTAACCTTCTGGCTGAGCACTACTCCCGGACATTTCAGCCGACCCACATCAACTATACTGATGTCGGCTCTGTCTGCAACTGCACAGGACTTTCCGTAGTGAAACTGAGTGCTGACTTGGTGTACCGTAAACTACAACACCTAAGAACAGACACTTCTCCTGGTCCAGATATGGTCCACTCTGCTATACTGAGGGAAGCAGCTTTAATCCTAGCAACACCGCTTAGCGTGATGTTCTCACACTCGCTAAGTCGGGGCAAACTACCGGATATTTGGAAGCTGGCTCATATCACACCAATCTTCAAAGGAGGTCGACGCAGTGAACCTTCAAGTTACCGACCGGTGGCCCTTCTCTCTATACCTTCAAAGATCATGGAGTCCCTGGTATACGATGATATACATGACTATCTGCTGTCCTTAAATTTCTTCTCACCCCAACAGCATGGTTTCAGGAAGGGTTATTCCTGTATGACGAACCTGCTGACCGCGGTGGACAGATGGACAAGCATCGTTGATCGCAAGGGGAAGGTAGACATCATTTACCTTGATTTCTCTAAAGCTTTCGATAGGGTTAACCACACATGTCTTATTAACAAGCTCAAACAATTGGGAATCAAACCACCTTTAATTGACTGGCTCAGTTCATACCTCACAAGTCGACATTTTAAGGTCAGGGTAAACTTCAATTTCTCACGCGCTATGGAATGTTCTAGTGGGGTCCCCCAGGGCTCAGTACTAGGACCTCTCCTCTTCCTGATTTATATAAATGATCTTCCTCAACAGGTAACGTCAGACATACTGCTCTTTGCCGATGACGTGAAACTTTGGAGAGAGATACACAACCAAGAGGACATACAGGCACTTCAGGAGGATCTGACTCGACTTCAAAGTTGGGCAGACAACAACGGACTTACCTTTAACACTTCAAAGTGTAAAGTAGTCCATCTGCGACACGTCGCAGATTACAGTTACAACTTAGGAAACTCCTCTCTAGTAGTATCCCGAGTCGAAAAAGATTTAGGAGTTCTGGTGCCCTACGACTTAAAGTCTTACGCCAACTGTGACAAAAATGCCTTTAGAGCAAACCTTGCACTGGTAACATTGAAGCGCATTTTTGGTCAGTTTGACGGGAGAACTTTTCACATAATCTTCAATAGTTTCATTCGTCCCCATTTAGAGTACGGGAACATAGTATTCCCTCCTACACTCCAAAAGGATAAGGACACTCTGGAGCGTATCCAACGGCGAGCCACGAAATCAGTTCGGGGACTCAAATTTAAACCTTACGATGAGCGCCTCCAATCACTCGACCTTTACCCATTAGAGTATAGGCGTCTTAGAGGTGACATTCTAATGGCTTACAGTATCCTTAACACACCTGGACACCCTCTTAAACACCTACTTAAGCTTAGTCCCAACACTAACCTAAGGGGTAACACCCAAAAACTGGAGATACAACATAGTAGAACGGACTGCAGACACAATTTCTACTCCTTAAGAGTTGTCAAATGCTGGAACTCGCTGCCAGCTGAGCTAGTCCAAGCAACTTCCCAGGAGTCCTTTAAGAGGCGACTTGATCTATTCTTAAGGACTAAGGATAGTATCCTACTATGATTTACCAATTCATTTTCTTTCTCTTTTATCGTTAATATACCTAGGTTCTTGCCTGGCGGTATTGGTGATCCACTGCTACTAGACACGGAAGCCTGTTAAGCGAAAGCTTCTTCTATTCCGTCCGCAACCATTTGAACCATTTGAACCATTTAGCGCGCTGTACGAGTGCGTACGGTACAATCGGGTTGCGAGGGTGGGTAGTTACAAACGGTCTTGTGAGGGTTAGCTCATTGTTGTTCTTTTTCTGTATGTCGAATTAAACACTGTTAACATTTACCTGCATGATTTCCTGATTTACTTAACGACGTCATACACGCGAAGAACTTAGCCATCTGAAGCATCACATTGAACAGTTGTTTTCAATTGACGACACATTATTAGCTTTAGATGTTTTTGTTTCCGAACGTCTAGAAGCCGTGTTTTAATGGCGCTGTTTGGGCAAATATTGCGCTGTGACCAGTTTACTCTTTCTATAGTTGATTTTCGAACTTTATTGTCAGCCTAGATAGCAAGGTAATCAGTCTTATTACTTAATATACTCATGACTTTGATATAATCTGTAAAAAATAGTGTCTGTGACCTAATAAGGCTTAATTAATCAATGGTTAGAAGGAATCAATAGGAGACTTGAGGTGCTGTTTTAAAGCACATCACAATTAACTGACTTCATCCATATAGTGTCTCGCTCAGTGTTATTCCCTGTCTTCGGCTACGGAGAAAGTTTAATCCTGTGTGGTGCATATTACTTCAAAAGCGGAAAAATGCGTATTTTATGGGTGAAACTATCGAATGCGTTGATGGAATCTATGAATATCTCATCTACAGACAATGCCGTATATCGTGCTGCTGTCCATCGCATTTGTGTAATTATCCCGTACGATCTTTAGTAGTAGGCTTAAGTCAGTGCTATATACACACACATATATATATATATATAACGTGAAATACCGTGGTTAGGTTAACTTGATATTGTTTTATTTGAATCTTCCCATTGATGTTTAGGACTGAAATTGTTCAGTCTCTTATTGGCATATGTGCATACTGTGCGTATGTCTCGATGTTGCCTTAATTTACAAGCATTGTAAGGAAAGAGGGATAGTGGTTAGCAGTGGAACCCAGATTGACGCGCGTTTCGTTCTATTTGGGACTCGTCAGTTGCATGTAACTTCATCTCAGAGTTGATGTTCACTCCGGGAATCGAACCCAGTACCGTTCGCTTCAAACGTCATCGCATAGGTACATCGCAGGTACATCCAGCTGACGAGTCCCAAATAGAACGAAACGCGCGTGCTGGATTCCACTGCTAGCCACTATCCATCTTTGCTTATAATGCTTGTAAATTAAGGCAACATCGAGGCATACGCACAGTATGCACATATGCCAATAAGAGACTGAACAATTTCAGTCCTAAACATTAATGGGAAGATTCAAGGAAAACAATATCAAGTGAATTAAACTTCACCCCATTGCACAAGGAAGTGGCTATCAGGACTTAGTAGCTAAGTGGATAACGCGATGGCGTTTGAAGCGAACGGTACTGGGTTCGATTCCCGGAGTGAACATCAACTCTGAGATGAAGTTACATGCAACTGACGAGTCCCAAATAGGGCGAGACGCGCGTCCTGGATTCCACTGCTAGCCACTATCCATCTTTGCTTACAATACCGTGGTTAGGTTTTCTTAAGAGCATCACAAAGTAAACTTGATTTATCCGAAGGTGGTCACATCTAAAACCAGCATGATTTTCTTGAGTTTAGTATTTTTGCATTCCAACAAGCCATCTTATGTTCAAACGTTGTAAACCAATGTCGGGTCTTATGTCGGGTTAATTCAAATTCAGTATAATATCTTTGGATAATATTTTAATACATATGGAGTCGCCAATGTAATGTAGTAATCTTTAATCATCACTTCGGTTGTGTCATATACTTGTAATTAATACTAATCTCATATACAGTGGCTTTATTTCTCACAACCGTTTTCACAGACCAAGATAATGTGTATTAAGAATTGACTGTTTAAATTTTGTGTAAATTCCGATTACATGTAAAAGCTTTTTGTTATGGGGACATTTACATTCGTATTAAAGATGAACAAGCTATTGCAATCTATTTCTGACAAGTTAAAGCATTTGGAATCAATTGCAACACCAGATGCAGTAAACTATGTTGAAGCATGCCTCAAAGTACAGAATAAACAGTTGTTGCACAAGATAAATTCGTTAAAAGAATTAGTTATTCAACAGGAGCTACTTCTTGGATGTTAGTCGAGTTAACTAATAAATCTTTTTACAAATAGTAAATCAACAACAACTTCATCATTCACCTTCTGTCGACGCTATGTGCAATGTTTCTAGTTTGAATGGAAATTCACTGGAAATCGAACCATTGTCTGAAAAAGGATTAGTGCCGGAAGGTTAGTTTCTGGTCTTTCTCTCTATTGATCCACTTTTCCCAATAGTATGATCCTTTATGTCAGAATGTGAAAAATGGGCTCGTTTAATTTCTAGTTCTAGATTCACATTTATGTTTATTATTTTAACTGTCCTCGTAATATATAATATTCAGCGTGATATCACCGTGTTATAATTCTCTCTTACGGTTATAACCCAGATATTCCTATTGCTTAGTATTCTCGGACACCAATTCACTCGATAAGTCCCCAAATTAGAACATGGTTGAACAAGAAAGAGATTACATCCCAAATAACAAGGTTAGATGGAAGTAAGAAGAACAATAGCAAAAACGTTAGTATATTTATAGTTTTTACATGAGAATATTTCTAGAGTATCGGCTAGCGCTGATTGGGCAAGAATTAGGCAATCAGCGTGCACCAAAGCCATCGTGCATTGAGCATGCTTTAATCCAATCTATGTCCCGCTAACACACCGTTTTTCGCTAAGATGGTTTGCTGTTACCTAGGCAATATTGGATATTGTTTGCTAATTAAGATCAGATACTTAAAGACGGTTATAAACTATAAAATGGGTGTAAATATTGGTAATGAAACATTGTCAGTAATTATAAGTGTAGTAAATTTAAATCACTGACACTGATGACCTTGCTAATGCTGCAGGTTTCAATGAATGTATTGTTATTTTTTTAACAATGAAACCCCTTTTCGGCCAACTGACTATCAAACATTTATGTCCATAAACAACCGACAACATTATATTTGTTAGTAAAAATAATCTGACAATTATTATTATTATTTAAGCACATAAACATAGGTAAAAGAAGACACTAAATAGATATGCGACACACAAATCGAATGATTTGTGTGAGAGCTGGGATAATTCCGGGGTGCCTAGACCGAAGCAGATGGTTTTCTTAGAGGGCCACACCCTGAGCCTTCGACCTTAAGGTCTAATCCACAAGGCAGTGGAGCAACGTAAGGAGATGCAGTCCCATGGTAGCCGGTGACCAACGACTGGTTCATACGCCATTTGTTCCTTCAGGATACTGGAGCCCATGTGCACAAATGGTTTGGAATCAGGATTTCTCAACTCCCCTAGGTGGATCGATCGTCCGTATCCATTAACACGGTTAAAGAGCCGAACATTCGCTCTTCGTACTCTCAATTTCGTAAACAACACCCCCGCCGTGAGAAGGCAGTAAGTTGGACTTTCCCGGCAGTATGCACGCGACCATGTGAGAGAATCTCGAAAGGGAGAGTTGACTCTCCTCACTCTCGGCCGTACCAGGGCATTTGGGGGTAATCTGGCAAACTGAATGTTACTGTTCAATAACGCCTCTATTTTGCTCAATGCACGTGGAATCTGGCTCTTAAATGAGAACTTTTAAACTGCTTTTCTGTTATCATTCCTCTAACGGACGTATCCACACGCGGTTGTAACACCGTGCGAATAATGTTGAGATCTTATTTTTGCTCTTAGGCTTTATGATAAACCAATTGTTTCCACCATTTTTTCGAATCCGTTCTTGTTGGGAATAAACCGTTTTATCAAATGTTCTTTGTCGCACATTGTTTTCCCGACGTGGGAACTAAACGGATAAAGTAGAGGTGGGCATTTTATGATGTGAAATAAAGAAATTCCTGTAAGGGATTGCTAAATGTTAGCCAGTCACAATGCCCATGGGTGGGCCTCTGGAGTCATGCAAGTCAGTGGCTCGAACTAAAAAGCTATTTCTGTCTTGTTTGTTTTCACATTGCATTTTTAAAAAAAGACAGATATAACTCCGTGGCCGAATGAAGTCACTGTTAATTGTTTTCTTAATTTGTCTTGATCGTTTATTGAATACTATTTTTATTTGTATTTTAATAATGAGGCATCTCTGTGTTAGTTTTCTTTGTAGTATTGCCATTCTGTGCGTGGTTACCTTTTTTAGTGCCACATAATACTGAGATAAAGATCTTTTCCGGAGCTAGTAATAGAACTTTTCATTTTGTGGTTTATCATAGCAGAGCAACCCAAACAGAGGACAGAGGTACAAACGGACTCAGTGAAAACTAAAAATCGGAACATCGAACGTAAAATACTAGATGGAAAACCAAAATCTACTGAAAAGCCTGTTGATATTGGTCGTCTGGATCTGCGTGTCGGTCGAATTATAGATGTAAATCGCCATCCTGATGCTGACTCGTTATACGTAGAGAAAGTATGTGGTTTCCTATTCCATCTCTTTAGATCAGTATTCATATTTTGTATATTGTTTAGTTTGTCCAAGCTTTGTATTTTATAACCTAAAACGCGCTTTTCGCAATTTTATTCAGGTTGACTTGGGTGGACATGAAATACGCACTGTTGTCAGTGGGTTGGTGAAATATCTACCTATCGAGTCACTACAAAATCGAGTTGGGATATTTCTCTGCAATCTCAAGCCAGCAAAAATGCGCGGTGTTGAATCAGAAGCAATGTTAATGTGTGCAAGCTCTCCAGATACTTGTGGAGTAGAGCCTCTGATTGTTGAAGGCCCAGATATACAGTTAGGTGATTCAGTTGTGGTTCCTGGATATAGTCGTAAGTAATAAATCTTTAGTTGTCCTTAGTCTTACAAAGGAAAACTAAATATCACACTTTAGCTGTAGTTAACTATCTTCACGTTATTTGGTTATTTATTTTGCTTAAAATCATTCTTAGAGTAGTGACTTAGTGATTAATATTAGCACCTTTTTTGTATTATAATTAGACCTAATCGTTGAAGCATACATATCTGAAATAGTACATATATCTTTCGCAACACGAACATCTAATGAGCTTCCCTTAGTGGCCTTAGACTGATTTGTATTGTGTATTTAGAAAATATAACTGATTAATTATGTGCTTTGTGGTATGTAATTGACATTTGTAGATATATCCTAGTTTAGTTGGATAATTTATCTAAATTGTTTAAAATCAAATAAGTCAGGCCTCTACAGTCTGGTTTGCCTTAAAAATGACATTCTCGTCATACTAATTGTTTTACAACCTTTCGGACTGTTTTTAAACTAAGTTTAGTGAGGAAGGGTTTGATCAGTATCAATGAGTCTCTTATTTTCAGTCTATTTGTTCTAATCCAAGCATCCTAAATCCACGTAGTTCTATTCTATTCCTTTTTTTCATCTGTGTGACTTTCTGAGTATAGTACTTAGCTATGTCGGAATGATATCCAAAAAGCTGTAGAAACAGCAGTGATGTCTGCAAGTATGGTAAACCATAAGGTTAGGGAGAAACACTGGATCTCAGCAGCATCTACCGCACTGATAGATGCTCGTAAACTCATTCCATCTGGTTCTGAACATAACGAAGAGCGGAGTCAGCTTAAGCGTAAGCTGACTAGAAGCCTACGTAATGATTGTGAACAGTGGTGGGTAGCGAAAGCAATAGAGATGGAAAAGGCAGCGGCAATAGGTAACAGCAGGCAACTGTTCAGACTTGTTAAGGAAGCCGGTATTAGGAACCCAACCGTTAGCAAAACAATCGCAGAGAAAGATGGACATATTATTCATTCTCAATCCAGGAGATTGGATCGATGGGCAGAATACTTTAGGGATCAGTTCAACTGGCCTTCAGCCACACTTCGGTTTCCCACGATCTCCAGTCGACCTGAATGGCAAGTTGATGTAAGTCCTCCGACTCTTTACGAAGTTGAAAAAGCTATAGGAAATCTGAAGCATGGGAGAGCAGCAGGCCCTGACAGGTTTACCCCTGAGATTTTTAAGGATGGTGGTCCAGTATTAGCAGCGAAATTGACTGAGGTCTTAGGTAGAATCTGGGAACTGGACGTAATCCCATCTGACTGGCCTCAATCACTGATTGTGCCAGTCTATAAGAAAGGACAAAAGTCCTCCTGTGACAATCACAGAGGAATTAGTTTGACTAATATAGTGTCTAAAATATTAGCTTCAATAATACTTCGACGTCTAACCAAAGCTCGTGAAGAGCAGACTAGAGAAAACCAGGCTGGTTTTCGACCTGGACGTGGTTGTATAGATCAAATATTCACACTACGTCAGGTCGTAGAACATAGACACACATTCAGACGCCCCACAATGGTAGTATTTCTCGACCTTAAGGCGGCATTTGACTGTTGATCGTGAGGTTCTATGGCAGTGTTTGTCACTGAAGGGAGTACCAAAGAAGTACGTCAACCTTATAAAGGCTCTCTACTCGAACACAACTGGTCGAGTGAGAGCTTATGGTGAACTGTCATCAGAATTGATTACCTCAAGTGGTGTTCGTCAGGGCTGTCCACTCTCTCCATTCTTGTTTAACTTTGTCGTTGACGTCCTTTTAGAGATGACACTTTCCTCATCTAAATTTCCAGGAGTTGAACTTCTACTGGGAGATCCACTTGTTGACTTAGAATATGCCAATGACATAGTTCCATTTGGTGAAGACGCTGACAAAATGCAGAGTCTGTTGACCATTCTAAGCAACAATGCAGGCATGTTCGGCATGCGATTTTCTCCCTCGAAATGAAAAATGTTACTTCAGGATTGGGTTGTGTCGACATCTGAACTAGTGATAGGGAGTGAAGTAGTTGAGCTTGTCAACCGCTTCACTTATCTTGGAAATCTCATCAACCCTTGTGGTTTGATGTGTGACGAAATCTCAGCACGGATACAGAAGACTCGATTAGCTTTTGCCAACTTGCGTCATTTGTGGCGTAGGCGAGATATCCGTCTATGAACCAAAGGACGTGTTTACTGCGCAGCAGTTCATTCCGTCCTACTCTATGACAGTGAAACATGGCCAGTAAAAGTAGAGGATATTCGTAGGTTACTAGTATTTGACCATAGGTGTCTTCGAAACATCGCTCGTATATCCTGGGACCACCGAGTAAGTAATGCAGTTGTTATGAATCGGGTACTAGGTGAGGATGGAAAATCAATTGATGAAGTAGTGAATTTTAATCAGTTGAGATGGCTGGGACATGTATTGCGCATGCCCGACCACCGACTTCCCCGACGTGCTGTTTTATGGTGTAGGAGTAGGTTGGAAGAAAGGTAGAGGCGGCCAGACCAAAACATGGCACAAATCCATGAAGTCAATGACAAGTGGACTAAGCCATGTTGGTAGGTGTAGACTACTTGGTTGGGGACCGCGAGATGATAGCAACCGATGGTTAGAGACCTTGAATGACATGGCTCAAAATCGTTTGCAATGGCGCAGGTGCATCCACTCTCTGTGTTCTCTCAAACTCTAATCTTCTGTATTCTTCATATCCTTTATCTTCTTTCCAAATGTATTCCACTGGACTATACTCCTTAAATAACATCATCAAACCTTAATGTTCCCTATCACTACTTATACTTTCAGTACCTCTTCCACTATGGGATTTGAATCGATAACTGAATCTCTGTGCTAATGTGGTATGGCAACTCGAACTGATGTACGTACGTACGAAGTTCCACGTTGTTACTGACTGATGTCGGAAAACTTGACTTTCATATTTCTTATTGTGACTGAGAGGAAAGTTAGTAACACCGATTTCTCAAATGAACGTAATTTAGATATTTTAAATAGACGGAATGTATTCAATCTTGGGATACCCATTTTTTTGTTTATGCTCAACTGCTATGTTTCTATTAATTTCTGGACTGTCTCGATCTTATAAATTTTATTTTTAATTGACTGCTTGATCAGTTGATTTTTCCGTTTTTTTTTCAGACGATCCTGATGACCAACTTAATCCCAAAAAGAAAATTTTTGAACAAGTGAAACCAGATCTTAGAGTAAATGAAAACGGGATCGCTATGTATAAAAATGTTTCATGGACACTAAAAGGGTCTTCTCTTGCTGTGATTAAATCACTCAGGGTCAAAGACGCTCAAATAGCTTAGTCGCTAACTACACCCTTTTTAAAATACGCTAATAATTATATATATTGTTTTCGTGAATTATTTTTCTTGTTATAATCCAGCCACTGGAAACTTCTGGAACATGAGTCATAAGTAAATCCTTTGGAATTTCTGAATGATACTCAATAGCAGGTACCTCCTTCAAATGTTGCTTTTGAATCCGGTGATGTACGCTTTAATTGATTCGTTTTGGTTTAAAGCATATATTTTCAGCGACGTAATATTAACGAAAAGACGTTGATAGGTCACATTTCAGTTTCGAATGAAAACCAATAGGGTTTTCGCTCTTGTGAGTTTTACACTATAATTCATTTACTGATTGAGTATAATCAGAGCAATTACATGTCCATTATATTACAGTTATTTATAAATTCCTATAGAATGTTCATAAACATAAATCTTTTAATGTTTTGGCGTCATGATTTTTTTGGTTTTCCTCTCCTCCTTTGACCTTCAGGATTCCATGTGAGGGTTTGCCTTGTGACACAGTTCAGTGCTTTCCACAGTGTATGTCCTATCCACTTCCAGCGCTTCTTCCTTCGATGGAACTTGGTTTGTTCTCTCCCACAGTAGCTTGGTGCTGATAGTGTATGACCAATGGATCCGAAGTATTTTGCGTAGACAATTGTTAATAAACACTTGTATCTTCTGGATGATGGATTTCGTAGTTATCCAAGTTTCTGTCCCATACAGTGGAACTGTCTTGGCAATTGTATTGAAAATTCTGGCTTTGGTGTTTGTTGACAGAGAGTTGTTTTGAGTTACATATGTTCTTCCATTGTAGATATGCTGCTCTTGCTTTGTTGATCCGCGCCTTCACATCTGCATCAGACACACGATACTCATCAATGATGCTGCCCAGATATGTAAAGGTTTTTACATCTTTTAAAGCTTCTCCGGTAATTGTGATTGAATTAGTGCATATTGTGTTGAATCGGAGAATCTTGCTTTGCCCTTTGTGTTTGTTGAGACCTAAAGCTGCTGGGGCTGCTGCTGCACTGGTCGTCTTCTGCGTTTGTTGTTGCATGTGCGATAGAAGATCCAGATCATCTACGAAGTCTAGACCGTCCAGCTGCATCCTAGCTGTCCACTGTATCTCATGCTTCCCTTCAGATGTTTACGTCTTCATGATCCAGTCGATCGCCAGGAGAAAGAGAAAGGATGAGAGTAAGCAACCTTGCCCAACACTTCAAACGACTTTGTCAGCATGCTCTCTATGCACGATTTCGCAGTTTAATCCATCATAGGAATTCCGTATGATATTGACTATCTTCTCAGGTACGCCGTAGAGTCGAAGAAGATTCCATAGTGTTGTCCTGTCCACGCTGTCAAACGCTTTCTTGTAGTCATTGAAGTTGATGTAGAGTGATAAATTCCATTCAATTGATTGTTCCACAATGATCCGTAGTGTTGAGATTTGGTCTGTACACGATCGGTCCTTATGGCATCCAGCCTGTTGGTCTCGAAGTTGGGCATCTACGGAGTCCTTCGTTCTGTTTAACAACACCCTTCTGAAGACTTTTCCTGGTACTGAGAGAAAAGTGATGCTCCTGTAGTTTCGTACTTGCTGAGATCGCCTTTCTTGCCATCCTTCCTTGAATCTTGTCCAGGGTTTCGATAGAGATCTTTTTATTATGATGATGGCTCTTGCGAACCAGCACCTTCTGACAGCTTGAAGTCAGCACTTCTTCAACCACATTCTTTTTGTCTTCCTTATTAGTTTCTTCTTTCAGCAGATCCTGTAAGCTTGGAACCTGTTGTTGAAAATTATCTCGAATTCGTTGAGTTTGCTAGTTTCTCGTAGGAACGCTGTACTGAAACCTGAAGCCCCTCCGGGGCTACTGCCGGCCCCGAGCTCGGACCAAGGAGTAGAGTTGGGCATGGAGTTAGCGGCTCCATCCCGTAGAAAACTAATTTGTTAAAAAATCGCTAACATGAAAAATATATATTTCTGTAGTTGTCCATTGCTTCTTTGGCTTCAGTTTCATCTTGGAAATCACCAGGTGGTGATCTGAAGATATATCTGTCCCTCTCCGAGTTCTCGCTTGTTCCATCGACCTTCTAAATTTTTTAGTGGTGCAATAATGATCGATATAATACCCTGTAATGTGATAAGATTGGACGCGTGTGTCTTTGTGTACGAACGTACTGCCGCCATTAACCAACTAGTTGAATGCACATAAGTTTACAAATCTGTCACTATTCTCGTTTTTTATCCGTCACTCCATGTCATCCCATGATATCGTCATAACCGTTGTTGTCGGTTCCGACTTTGGCGAATAGGTCTATCATTAGGATGGTGAGATCCTTTCCTGGGCACTTCTGTATGATCGATTGCTGCCTGCTGTAGAACTGGTCTTGATCGTTGTCATTGCCATCATTTGTGGGCGCATAGCATTGGATAATATCCATTGTAATACTTTCGTCTTCGCTATTTTTGATGCGTTTACGAGTTCACTTAGATTGCGAACCGAACAGAAATTTGTGACCGAAGACCAATATACTAGCTATTCTATTGCGTCCCAGCCTCACTAACTAGAGGAAGAAGTCCAAGCTTGGAATGGGGAAGAATAGTCTGCAAACAGCCAGTAACAAGTGATAACAACAAACACAAATCCAAACTGTCCTTGGGATGATTTACCAAATAGCATACTAAAAGACGCAATGAACCAATAGCATTCAAGACGTTTCTCAAGTGGGAAACACGACATGCAGTTGACGAGAGCACTTTTGGCGCGAAAACAAAGAAATTCAAGTTTCTAAATGAAATTACAAAATTAGGTCCTTCTCCAAGTGAGTTCTGGGGATATACGTACCCAGCAGTTTTGAAGCTCATTTTGATATTCCAGAGTCCGTTAGCTTCTTAGGACAGCATCATAGGAGATCCCTGAGTTTGTGGAGCAGTTTATTCTTCGTGACCAGAGTACAAGAACATCTCAATCGAATCTATCCCTTCGCTTTCGTGTCGACTTCCATAAATTCTTGAATTTTCATCATCAACTTTTAAAGGCATTGTAATTAGAAAGTTCCATATATTTGACATAACTAGCTGTCCTTTATACAAAACAAGTCATCAAAGTTTGTGAACTCCTTTAAGACCGTAAGTCAAAAAGAGTCATTTCAGAAAAGATGAATTATCTTGCAACCAGTCGAATCTTCATTTCACTACTGTAGTTGACCCAGGTTATTGACGATACAACCTACTACCATTTCTTTTAATGGGAGATGACGTTAGATTCGGAGTGGTGTTCCATGAGATGATATGCCAAAATTATTAGTTCAGATGCATCATTCGCAAAATAGGAAAAAGGAAATTAAAACTACACTATTAAGAATTGGCTACAAATCTAATTCGATGATAGCTTAGTTTCTCTAACTTAAATACTTAACTCTGTACAAGAATCTATACAACTACTGAAATATTCGACATTGGAGACGACAGCTACCGATAATTATGATGCCGTACATGCAGTCTAAAAATTTAAAATGACTTACACAGTCATTCTGATCTCATACTCTCAACGCCATAAAATTCCCTTTTATTTTATAAATGCCAGTCATAATCTAAATATTAAATTATGAATAACTAGTGTGTCTAGTTCAATGAACTGCATTCACAGAAACATGTCGTCATCTCACTGCTATATGTGGCATGTTTAGGCAGCGTGCACTAGTTGTTACAGTGGAGTTCATTATCTAGTATTCATCAGTAATGGCGGTATTAGCGATCAATAAATGATTTATTTAAACAAGAGTAAATATGTGGACCATGCCTATAAAAGTGGCGTGTCCCTGCTCATGCAGAAATATATTATTTAACATTACTAACCTTCCCAAAATTTCAAGATATTTTTCTGCTTCAGTTGTGTTCTCGATTTTGTCTACACAAAAGGAATCTGGATGTGTGGAATAGCTTAATAACATGAGTCATCATACACACTTCATATGTCCATTTTGATTAACTAGATTTCGGATTATTTCTTGCACCGGTCCTCTATTAGTTCCACTTATTATGATCAGAGCTTTCAACATATCATTTTAAAAACGATGTTTTAGTTAGGTAAAACTCCATAACCACAGACATCTCAACAATAGTGAAATGTTTTTTGATGAGGATTAACGTTATAATTATTTGGCACTTTGCTACAGACCATGGAAATTTGCCATGTTCGCCACGGGATCTATCTTTTCAAGCATTTTAGAAGTTACCGAGGTGGTATGCTTACCGTGAAGTCAAGCAACTTTCTCGTTTTTTAGTTATACTACTTTTCTGTCAAACTATTTTGAAACCGTTTTCGTCAACCAATTAATGGTGGAATTGTATTGTTTAAAAAATTAAACATTAACAACAAATCAAAGATCAATGTGAACACGCCTAGTCTTTTATACAACTGATCACTTATAGCATGTTTTTCCTGGCTTTTTGCACTTGATGATAGCCTGATTTCGAATCCCAAATACATCACATTCGTTTGTGTTCATCTAGTTCTATTTCGTTTAATTTGTACTATTTCGGGAATTTCTATTCAGTATAATGAATCAAATACTTCTAGTTATAACACTTTTCAGCTGAAAATATTTCCTTTTCTACACTAGACAATCTTGCCATCAACATTTGGATTACAGTGGACGTATTTCACCGCGAATATACTACGTATCTTCCAGTAGATCGATTACACTTCTTTACTCTTCTTGATGCTGACCACATTAGTTTTAATTTACTCACCTGGCTGAAGGCGTTCAGCCATTTATCCGAACCAGATCATGAGTAAGTACGCCGTACTTCATTCATCATACAACTGTTAGCTAGCTTAGATCAATCACTTCTCGATATACTATCAAACATATCTTCGAGCCTCTTTACTTTTGAGTTCTGACCTGACTGGTTTGGCACATTCCGATCATAAAGTGTGTTATGAGTTAGGATGTTGTCAAACTTCGAAAACTTGTGGTATCTTCAGCAGACCAATTCGTAAAATGAGAGTTTGTTTCTTTCCGCGACTTTAAATACCAGTTTTTACTCAAATTTTTACATATTGCAATTTATCCGTATATGTGGATTCTTTTCCCTCGTGCATTACTGTACTTTATATTCATCATTACGAGCATACTTCTCATATATTTAAGGTCAAGACTCTCTCACCATCCGCATTTCAGTTAATGCCAGTCCAAATTCAGCATATACGTTACAACTAGAATGTTCACTAGTGATGTTTCGGAGATCTAACCTGTTGTTACGAATGAGAGGGTGATTATTTAGAGGATCTATGATGAGGGCCTGTTTAGACAGCTTCTCCTGTTTAAGTTCCCCAATAGATGCAGGCGGTAATTATTTCATTTCGAAATAACACAGTAAACGAAATGGCTTCATCTGCCGACTGAATTCCAGAGATCAACGGAACTTCCAACACTGAGGTCAAGTAAATGCCGCATACAGAACAACAAATCGTCACTGCAGAAAGTCCTGCAGTTTTTCAATCGCCATAATGTCCGAGCAAAAATCCCTTTGGGAAACCTTCCAACCAGCACGCGTCAACGGAAACCGTAACTAAAGAACAAAGCCATCTGATACACATCACTGGTGTTGTGACGAAAGATCGTTACCTTGTGAAACTGATTCATAAACTAGCACTCCTCCTGCAAATCAAAACGACTGACTGAAAGAACCGTTTTTCAACTTACAGGTTGCAAATGGGAAACCGATTTTCAAATATTGTAAGCGATATTCGTATCTTAACGTGAGTTTACGCAAAGCCATTAACTGGGTCTTCATCGTTTCAGATGCTCCTATGCCAATAATCATAATTTAATCATTGACATGACAAAATGGTGGTTGGTAGATAGAAAAATATTCTGTCAACAGATTTGAGAACGGAAATACCACGTTTAACCAGCAACATCACATGTCCCTTCACAACTATAAGAACATATGTATATTTGAAGGCGCGCCGATCTCTATGAGTTTTTGCACATGCCTTTCTGCGTGGTAAATGCTTCACAAACATTTCCGGACATAGAATATCATCTCTAACATCTGGACATTTTTTTCAAACAACTACAAAGTTATGATATTACTGAAAACATTCAGATATATATATGATCCATAAGGAAAATCTGAAAATCATTCTGGATAACCATAATGAATGGCATCAGCAACAATGTGCTTTAATCTGTGAATATTAAAGAGTAAGTATTCTGCTATATCCAAAGCTTAGATTCTTACCATACCGCGCACTACTTGAGCACGCGAAAGCAAGAATCGTCAAACTCGCAAATAAGAAGACAGAAGACAAGTGTATCTAAACCTCGCGTTCAACAGCTACGTTCGCAAAATAACCGAAAATGTATGGCTTGTTTTAACTGACCCTTCAGTTCTTTACTTAGGATTCGTCTCCTGTTATTACACCTCAGAGAATGCTGCTTTATTTTACTGTAATTTAGATACTGGAACGAAAACTCTACCTGTTTTCTACAGACGATGATATAAATCCAATAATTTTTTCTCTTGTTCGTAAGAATTGTACTTTCCTTTACCTGATATATATAGATTATACCTGTATGTATGAGTAGCACACATCACACTGAGCAATCGTAGGACTGCCACTGCTCAAAGTTTTAAAATATTACAGGCTAGTCGAAAGCCGATTCGTCATCTAGAAGAAGAAAGGTTTTAGGCAATTTGCCAGACGTTTAAGAGGACATATTTGAAATATTTGATTTAAGCAGCATGTTATTTTCCAAGTATAAGATGGATCTGACAACACAATGATGACATATCTCACTGACTTAGCTTAGTGGGGTGGTTTGCCCTCTTTCGTATCTTTTCTTTCATTTTAGGAGACGTTCTAAGAAAGTTCGAAAGCCTAAAGCAAATCAAGTTTCGAATATCTTAAGCTTAGATAGAATATTGAAATTCAGTGATTTCAAGTGATTGGCTAAATAGATGTTAATGTTGCAGCGGCAAGAGACATCAGCCGAGATAGCCAGTTTCCCTACTCAGCGTTCCAGCCTTTTTTAATTATGCCTTCAATGATTGCTATTGTGACTTATTTACCAGCAAAGGAAGACACCGTTTTTATGTGCTTGGCTATTCGAAATTTTTAGCCGTTAACTAATATTTCTAGCTGTTGTAAGGAGCGTCAGAAGCCATTTGTTTCGAGGCCATTCTATATATGCTTCAACCATGATTCAAACGCAGTAATTACTAAGTCATCTGTTTATACAAACAAACTTTGTAGTTGTCATCCTTTGGTGCGCTGTTGGGTTTTTGGCGGTACATCTGCGTTATCCGCAACTGCTGGTCATCAATCTTTGTCAGGATGACCAAGCTCCTGGCAGACGACGGTGCCCTAGAGAAATTCCGATGGATGTGTTTTTTTGTATTTGATAGTTGCACAGATGAACATCCAGTGTCTGCAAAAGAAATCGAGCAATTACTGGAGTTCCTGTGTGACCTTGAAGGCCCCGAGTATGTTTCATTTGCTGTCGTATTGATATATTGTAGAAGTGCTTACTGTTTTGAGTCAGAAGCTTCTAATAAATTGAAAACTACACTTTTGTGTGCTACTTCAGGACTGCTTATCAAAAACGTGTCTGGTTTGTTGCTAATTGCTGATAAAACTTTCTCTAGAACTAACACATATGAACATAAAAGCTCCTGGAGCATCAATGGTTCGTCAACTTATTACACTTTTGTCCGAAAAGAACAAGGATGACGTGGTGAGTTGTTCAATCTTTCCATTACGACATTGAATCTTACCGAACACAATTGTTGACTTATCAACGAGGAATTTCTGATTTTATTTATATTTGTATGTTCTCTTAGTACACCCATAGTTTTGATTTTGAATACGTTTCCTGAAATCCTAAAGATACACTGAAATACCAAAAGCATATAGGCTTGTTGAATAGTCAGCTTCCAGTCTCTTTGATTATTTAGTCCATATTTCTTTTCTAAATATTTAATTAATTGTGACATTCCTTTATTTTGAAATACCTTCAGAGGTGTGGGTTGATTTGACTTATGAAATGGTGTTTTTGGTTGTATTTGTAAAAGAGATCGCACATATTTATAAGAATAAGCCCCAGACCGACTGCCTTGTTTCGTTTTACAAATCTCTATTTGCAAAAAACTCCGAATTGATTGGTAGGCAGTTAAGTCTTCTGGGTTAGTTCATTTGAAACAAGTGTGTGGGGCAAACTATATTTCTGCATAGCTTGTTTCGTATTTTATTATTTACGTATTCCACTTGGTTCATGTAATTCTTTAATTTACTTTACTTGTTTTTCAGGAATATTTATCAACAACGCTATGCTCTTTATTTTGTTTGGAGCCCATACCGGTGAATCAGTTGAAAATAGTTGAACGACTGTGTGACTCTGACCGCGAATTACTTAAGAAGTGGAAGGATATTGTACCTGATAAGAAAGGTAGTCCTAAGGGAACTAAATTACTAGTGAAACATCGTGAATCCTCGCTGGCTTATGAGTTATGGAATGAAATTACTCAGAATACGGTAATTGGTCGATTCCAATGTAGTTTAATGTGCATTGTAACTATAAACTTAATTTTGACGTCTTCATGTTCAAGTATCTTTCGGTCCTGTGAACTGAAGTCAGGTTTTCCATGAGCCTTGCACAACCACTTCTTCTTGGTTTTTATTTTTGCTTCCTGACTTTTGGTTGTGTTTAAATCAAATATAACGAGTTTATGACTAGACAGTTAAGTGTTGTTAAATGTGGTTCACAATTCGATACCTAGCTTTATACTTGGTTAGTAAATTTTTATTTAGTCTAGTTTTTTGGTGGCTTATCATATTTTGGGACGTAGCAGTAATTTGTAGCGTTCATTTTTAGTGGCTTGGATTTACATAGATCTGATAGTATTTTAGGCTATCTGTCGTTGGATTGTCGAGTACTTTTTAATCTGCGTGTTTTCTAGTCAATAAACTGTCAGTTTTTAGTTTCACCTGTCTGGTTATTACTCTAATAAAATGAGCTTTCAATATTCACTACTCCGGGGAGTATGTTCGAAGATATAATTTAGAATCCCATGTCCTCTGATTATTTCTTAAGTTGTTTCGTTAGTTACAACTGTGATGACTATTAGTGCACACTTTAGCTCTGTATTAAGCCTGCTAACTGGATAAACGATCAATCTGTGACATCAATTCATTTTTTGTATTTTATTCGTATGTACTGTTTACTATTCCATCCAAACAAAAAATTTGGAACACTATCTTGAGACGACTTATAACAATCAACTTTTTAGTTTTCTGCATCCATGTTTTTATTTATTTATTTATTTTAACATATAGGTATTGGTACAAGGAGGCACCAAATACATATGCGCCACACGAATCTCAATTGATTTGTGTGAGGGCTGTGATACTGCTCGGGTGCCCAAACCAAAGCAGGTGGTTTTCTTAGGGGGCCACACCCCGCGCCTTTGACCTGAACGTCTGATCCACAAGGCAGTGGAGCATCGTGAGGAGATGCAGTCCCATGGTAGCCGGTGACCAACAATTGGTTCATACGCCATTTGTTCCTTCAGGATACTGGAGCCCATGTGCACCATTGGTTTGAGATCCGGTTAAAGCGCCGGACATTCGCTTTTCGTCCTCTCATTTTTGTAAACAACACCCCCGCCACGAAAAGGCAGTGAGTAGGACTTCTCTGGCAGGGGCTATGTACGCGTGGCCATGTGAGAGCATTTCGAGAGGGAGAGCGGACTCTCCCCACTCTCGGCCGTACCAGGGCATTTGGGGGCATCCATGACTGTACTTGATTACTAAACAGCATTATATACTATATTATTTGTACTGTGCACTCAAACCAATTACCTCAAATAACCGGTTTAAAGAAATTCCACCCATTCCAACTTTAGTGTCGGGTCATTTTTCTGGTCTTCACCTTGATTAAACACGAACTTTTAAAATATACAGATGTGATTCAGGTTTTCCTTTATGGATTGAGTATACCGATTATCAATATCTTTTTACTACATCCATGCGTTACTAATTATCTCCCTTCATATTTTGCTGACATTGTTTCATTTGGCTTCCTTGTTCGTGCTATTCTGCTTGCCGTTCTATCCAGTAGTATAATATCTTGGACTGTTATTCATTGTTTATTTTAGTGTCATAATATTTCTAATACACGTTTCTGACAAATGTCTAGAATCAAGTAAATTACCTAACCTCTTATTTGTGATTGATTTAGAAACAGATTCAAGGGAATCCTGATTTTTGTACCGTCAATACGCGCAATGAATTTGCTATTTGTTGTGTCCAAACTTTTTGGAGCTGTGGTGGTTGGCAGCATGTGCTCAACAATTTGGATGCTATATCTCCTATTTTAATCAGGTAATTTCACCATTTTTCGCCTGTTTTCTTCGCTTGTGATACCTGTGGTGTAGTTTTTAAACTGAAAATATTTATAAATAAATAATATATTTGTAATATCCCAATGAGTAGAAAATTAGATTTTCTGACGTTTCGTGGCTTAGTGTAAGTCACTTCTTCAGAGAATAAATAATCAAATTAAAATTAATCCAAGTTTAAATAGTACTATTTAAACTTGGATTAATTTTAATTTGATTATTTATTCTCTGAAGAAGTGACTTACACTAAGCCACGAAACGTCAGAAAATCTAATTTTCTACTCATTGGGATATTAAAAATATATTATTTATCTATAACAATCAACCCAATGCTCAATTTATTCGAAATTATCAAATCAAACCTTGGTAATGATACCTGAAAATATTTATATTCGTTTCCTGGAAGGGACACCGTATAACATAAAACAATGTGTAAACCAGTCGATTACAGACAATTGTTTGATTTTGCAGTAAATTTATTCTGACAGCTTTTTGCGATCAATGTTTTGCAGATGCATGCGTTTCTAATGTTCTCAATATACTTCATTGATGGTTGTAAATAAGCTCAGAATTAAACTTCTTTACCTTCTATTTACATTATTTCGAAATATTTAGCACTTAATGACGTATAGGATTATCTTAGTGGCTACCTTCGTTACAATGTCGACACATTCATCTGCATGGTTCCTAATGTAAAAATGGATAATGTTATCATTTACTGTTTACTTTTAAATTTCAGTGACGATGTAAATAATGTTCATGCTCGAATCAAGACTATTAGCTCACTTTCACAGTTGTTCTTGATCGCCTCACTTGAAATCCCGTATATACAGTTGACAAACACCGTGCCAACAAGCGACAGTTTGTTGCTGCATGATAATTTTAGACCACAGCAACAAATGTTTGTTTCTGTCCCAGAAGAAATTGTCACTCACTGGATTGAATCAATTTCTAAGGCTATCCAATCTGGTTGTTTATGGTTTGCAAATTATATCTTATATTCAGAGTTAAGTAATGTATTGAATCAAAGAGTGCTGTTGGATGAAATCCTAGTTGATTTGGTGAGTTATGTTTTTCAAATGTGTTATTATTGAGTCAGTCTCATGTTTATTAATTCACAAATGTCCAACTTTGTGTCTTTTACAATCACCGGATTTCAATGATGGGATTTACAATTAGAGACAACGGTACTGGGTCGTCTATTCTACTCTGTAACTGCAAGAGATATTAAGTTCAAATAAAGTTCAGAAGAAAACAAATGTTTGGTAACTGACGCGCGTATGGGATGATAGTGTTACCTCAGTAATGTTCAGTGTAGAAATGAGTTTGAGTTGAAGAAAATAATTTGGTTGCTATACTGATGCAAACAACAACTTTTTCTTTATCGTCAACTAAATAACTATCTACCTAGATGTTCAACACTCCATGGAATAAACATTGAATAGAATAAGTCTTACGGTGGTTATAAGTTCATTGTTCGTTAATCAAGATTTTATGAGTGTAATAAGCATGTTGACTGTATTAACTATCAGTATTCAGCTATTAACAAGTGATATGGTTACACATACTTATTAAGAATTTCAGCATCGAGTACCTAAATAGGGAAGGGTTCTTTTTACAGGTACAAATTCATTCTTAAAATAGGACATTTTTAACCATCATTTCCATTTTACCGTGTTACATCCCAATATAAGTAGTTTGAAAATCGGCACTTTGGTTTGTTATGCCTGTCATTGCTTAACATTTTGCAAGTTGGTAATGTATTTATTGAACAAGAACTTTTATCATAACCAATCGGCGTTATTTAGCTCCCCTGTCCAAGAAAAAGACGAAATATATGTTTTGCAACTCCTCAAGTTAAAGTGTGACTTCTGAGAAGAATAGTCAGTTTTTACTAGACATAAGTAGCATAGTTATTAATTTTAATTCCATACGAGAAAAGTAAAACAAAGTTACCAATGTTTATCAAACCTTTGTTCCAGGATTTCCTCTATCAACAACATCTTGGTCGATTAGTATCCTGCCAGGTAAGCGGATCATGGTTGTCGTATTTTGGTCTCATAATTAAGTGTTATTCACAGTTGGTTATATGGTTGACGAGCAATGCCTTCTGCCTATTTGGTGCGTATAACTAGTATTTTGCTACTGGTTACTTATATGTTACACATGTAGGGAAATGTTTATAAAATAGGAAATAAATAATAAATCCCATCTAACTGGTCACAATCACTGTTTGTCCCAATATATAAGAAAGGGTCAAAATCATCCTTTGATAACCATAGAGGCATTAGTTTGAATAATTTAACATCTAAAATACTAGCCTCAATAATTATCAGACGCCTAACAAAGACTCGTGAACTGCAAACACGAGAAAATCGGTATGCCTTCAGACCTGGTCGTGGCTGCATCGACCACATATTCACCATTTGCCAGATTTTAGGACATGGGCTTGTTTATCAGCGTCCGACAATGGTGGTCTTTCTTGGGTTAAAAGCAGTATTTGACTCTGTAGACCTAGAGGTTCTGTGTCAGTTTCTGTCATTGAAAGATGTACCTCAGACGTACATAAACCTTGTGAAGGCTCTTTAATTGAACACTACCAGTCGAGTGAGAGTTTACGGCGAACTGTCATCTGATTTCGCAACATCAAGTGGTGTCCGGCAAGGCTGTCCACTTCATCATAGACCTACTGCTGGAAATAACGTCGTGGTCAGCGCAATTATCGTAATCAATGGCTGGAGACTCTGAGCAACATGGCTCAGAATCGATAACAATGGCGTCGGTGCCTACACTCTTTGTCTTCCTTTAAAGCGTGAGATTAAAATTACTTTGCATCTTTCTTTCTACTAACTAATTCTTTCTTCCTGTACTTTATCCTTATGCGCAATCTCTCTTTTTTATATATTATTACCGTTGGAGTAACTATTATGAACTTGGTATTCATCTTTTTGTGCTAATGAGGTGTGGCAACTTGGGCAGATGCATATATGTGCCTGGTCCTACATTGTAGCTGATTGACTGACAATAATTCACTCATTCCTGTATATAAAAAATTAACCACCCATATGTTATGTTTACTGCTCACTAGGCTTGTGTCTATATTGAATCAGTAGTTTTATCAGATATGAGATGAATTTCAAAATGCTTGTATAGTTTTATAAGACTTTTCAGTTCAGTATGCAAATTAATGGTTATGTATAATGGGGTCTATTTTGATGATTTTTTGAATTAGATTAATCAACACTAACCAGGCATATAATGGAATGGTTTATGGGAAAAAACCCAGGTATAAATTAATATTCAGTAGTTAAGTTTCGCTATTTAATATACCATGACAATACTTTATTCGACTCTTCCTAAATCAGAATAGGAACTGAAAGAGAATAATATCTGTCCCAGTTAACCTAACAATAAAGGTACAACAGTAAAGTCACTAAAGTTTATATAGGATTTACATAGAGATCTAGAATGTTGATTCTCCAGCTGGCACTTGTGACTTCAAAGCGAATTAATCTACGTATTTCGATATGAACATGATCAGATTATTCAATAGTCCTGTCCTTCTAACAGACTTTTTTATCATCTGGAGGTGATAGTGTCTGTTTTTGATAAATGATACATGATCTCTTGATTGAGCTTTAATTTATGTTTAGCTATGGTAAACAGATTGGTATACTTCATGAATATAATCATTATGTTATAATTTTAAGCCTCTAACTGTTTTCATGATTTTAGTTTTTCAGAGTTATTTTTGATATTCCACTTTTTAAATTCCAGTCCGATTTCCTTTTTTTTCATGTTTCTGTTGTAAAAAAATTAGATGAATTCAAAATTTTTTGAGATAATCAAATCCTTAAATTTTGGAACTGGCTTAATGATGCTCAACTTATTTGCCAAATCGTTACCTAACATTCTACCAGCTGATCAGTCAGATTTATTATGTTTGATTGAGTCTCTAAACAAATGGGATCGTCAGCTTAATTTAGTGCCAATTAAACCTTTGCTATTGAAGTACTTTTCGCAGTTGTTTACATTTAGCCTAACACTGTTGGTTTCTGGTGACTCTGAGTATTTTAAGTATGGGTCAGATTTCTCCGTTACCCAGAACTCTGACATCCTGTCGTCGTCACTGCCTTCTTTACCATTTTTACTGTCGTCATCTGATGATTTGAGTTTATTTAATCGAAATATCAAATATTATTTAGATAAAAAATTTGATCCAAATGGTAAGATTTTTACAAGGTTATTTATTATTCGTCTTCTCGGTTTTTTGTGTATGTATTATTGTCTTGTTTCCATCGTTGGTTAATTTGCTCATTTTGGACATTTTCCTCCATGATCATTACTTTGTTTTGCAAATGCAGTTAGGTGGTGTTTGAAAAAATACTGAGTGGTCAGGTGTAAACATGACACCGACCCATAGAGTCTTTACTGATTTGGAAATATTGGCTTCTCAATAGTCGAATCCTCGAATCAACGTGGCGCAATTGATCAGACCAATATTGCCGCATTTATTTTATGTTTTCTAAATTTCTGAAACTTTGTTGTCAGTTTACTCACTCTTTGTTATGTCATTAGCTATTCGTTTATCACGAAATACGATCGCTTTTTAAATATACTGACTTATATGACCAAACTAATGACGCATACACCAGTGTGAACAGCCCAGAGTCCTTATTGGCCTTTTCCCCACCACGCCCTACGTGTTAAGTCCAGAACGCTAATCTCAGCCTCCGCGATACGAATCATATATTTCAAACCCCCTTGGTTTATATACAAGCAAAATCAGATCGCACACTAAAAAATAGAAAATAACATTTGTACGTGATCTATTCAAAAGTGGCTGTGATTGTGAGAAACTGTTACCAATACATTGGGAATATCTCAAGAATAGTAAGTCGTGTGATGATAGTCAATAGATTAAATAAAAGCTTATAATGTAGGGAATATGAATATGCATATAATATAATCACTTAATGGTCATACATTAAGAATATACATATAATACTAGTCCATAAGTACTCCATTACGGTTACCATTCATTTATTGTCGTCTGGATATAACATTCTTAATATAACTTCCTGCTTTTCTTCCATGTTATGCAATATTCTATACTGTTGTATTCATCTAGATTATGTTCTTAACTAAAGGACTTATTTTTCAAGTTCTAAGCGTATCACACTGGTTTACTAAATAGGTACTCCTCCTCAATTAAATTAGTATTGTTGTAAATTGCTTTGCAAGTTTTCACAGTTTATAGTCGTACACGTTTCTAGTTTGGAGATAGTCTTTGCCGTGAACTAGCACATCAGCTAAGAGAACCATATAAAGTTAAGAGACACTAGACAGTTATTTCATCTTATTTTGAAACTCTTCTGGAGTTCAAATTCTAAACCCCATAAAAAATGGAATTCAGTACCATTTTTTAACCTCCAGATCTCTCAAACACAATAAACTTAAAACGTCAAGTTGGAATCTAGCAATCGTTCGCATTTCCAAATTTAGTCTATTAATACAAAAGCTACGACTTCTTATTTGCACGTTTAGCACAGAATCAAATCTTTGCTACTTTTCATTACTTGTCATTTACGGTAACATTTAAAGAATATGTTAACCATAACGATAAGGTTTACCATAGAATATTCATTACGAAGACACTCTTTCGTCTCAGAATTCATCTTTTAAAATGTTCAAAGAGTCTTCAACGTATCCCCAAAATAGTACTCTTTAATAGTGTTACACTTTTGGTTGTGTTGTGTTTTTCTAGTGGTATTTCATAAACTCGTGTCCGTTTTTAATGTAAACTATATACGCACTATAAAATTGTAAATTGTCTGTCATGCAGCATCTCTATCAGATTTCTTTTTTTTAAATTATAGAGTTTATTAACCAATCAGAAAAACCCGCATCATTATCGCGTTTATTTGTTCTGTGTGGTCATCATCTTCATGTTGATTTAATGCGCATTCTAACAGAGATGTTTAATGTGGTGGGTATATTTGTGTAGAAAAAGTATTGATCATCAGTTGACTGTTTCATTTTGTTCCATTTTTTCTGAAAATACAGTGCTAAAACTTACAAACTCTCTAGATAAAGCCACGATATGGTCTGAACACATACTAATGATTTAAAGGTGTAAATTCATGGTTTGAATACTCTATCTTTTATGTATTGTGAAATTCAGAACGGCTTTTAAAAACTTGGGTCATCTTTAACACTGGTGTGACGTTATCACGGCTGTGAAAAGTCAGATTTATGATGCAGTGGTTAGATCAGTTCAATTTTGTGTTCGTAGAACCTGTCCTCTCTACGCTGCGGGTGTTCAGTGACTTTGTGTCCAATCATCGTTGTCTCCAACGGATCGCCAACATTGAACAGCAATGTTAATGATGCTAGGGTTCGCAATCTGCGTTAGGGCATTGTGACAATAATTCAGTTGGTGTCATCCAAAAACACCGGCTTGGTAGCGTTTAACGAATGTCATCCTAGTAGCTTCCATATTGTCCATTAATTGCAGATGCTGTGACGGTTGAAAAAGCAGAGAGATTGTCAATTTGTTAAACGTTGCCATAATGTTAAGCAAATATGTATTGGACTGGGTTCTGTCAGGCCATCATGATTCCCTGCTTTGAGATCAGAGGGATGATACAACCCAGTGACTTAAGACGTTATCAAACCTGTCTGGCAATTAAAACCTTTGGCTGTCCTGCCATAGTTTTCTATATTCTTTATAAAAGTTATGTGAACTTCAACTGGGAGTTCTTTCGGTTGTATTTTCAAGTAAACTATATCTCTTATGCTATAGTATTCCTGTTCACTCGTCCACTTATTGTGATTTTGCAGAGGTGATGTAGTTCATACTTGTGTATGTGAATCTGTACAATTTATTAGTCCTGAAACTAGATAATATTTCCTTGTATGTATAGTCACAAGCTTCAACAAGCTACCCAGTGAATTAAATTGAATGTGATTTTCTAAGTGTAGGTATGTATATCAATTGATTGACTGCAAAGCAGTGACGCTATCCCTGATGTATTGGGGCCAACAACGTCTCAGTCTGTGAGACTAGGTGACGCGAATTCCATTCACAGGGAATTTCGCTTCCTCCAAGATTCCAAGTACACCTTCGTGATAAGCATCATTTAGCAATAAGCCCAGGACCATGGTTTCCTTTCGACTAAATCCAATCACCACACAGTAGAGTTTGCAGTTTCATATTGATGATATGATGGTGGTCAAAATATTCTACTTTCAACTAATAAGTCGCATGTTCAAACCCCATTTTTTGTACTGACGTATTTAGTTTTTAACTGGGTTCCAATAATTGTTACCATAATCGATGGCGAAAAACTCAAAAGTTAATCACTAAGTGGGAAGATGGTTTAAGGGCATCAAGTATTGTACTTTGTGTCAAGTAGAGACAAAACTGTAGATCTACATTATCGCTCATCAATGTTTTCTCTTTTCCTCTAAATACTATTGTGCTAAATCTCAAGAGAAAGTCTCATAGTAAGCTTACTTTTTCCTCTAGAACCGATATAATGTTCGAGGAAGGTGATTATTTTTATTAAAATATTTATTCCTACATAGATACACTGTCTTATGTTCATCATCGATTACTAAATGTACTTTAAATGACTCATTACATAAAGTAAACATTTGCTTATTTTCAATCATTTTTTCTAATGCACTTTTCATTTGGTTTCATGAAGTTGTATGATAAGTAGCCTTTTTTGTTGAACTTACTGTTCCATCTTATCTGTTTGTTATAGATTCATGAACATTCTCGAAGATTGTCTTGTAGTAGTTATCAACAATATTTGGGTAAAGGTACGGTTGTGTGTGTGTAATGGACGTTTAACTTCCTTCTCATTTATTTAATGTAGTGTTTAGTTTTGTTCTCACTTGACATTTGATTAGTCCTAAGTTCTTTGGTGGTCCCAATGAGATATGTCACATTGAATATAAAGCATCATTTTTAGAGTAAATTTACTACCCTGAATTTTAGTTCGATCGCTAAAAGGCGATAATATATCACACAAGTATTAGGCTTAACTGTCAAGTACCGATTCATTGGCCAGTGAGTGATTGACATACAAAATCTGTCCTTCATTTGGTTATAACATTAGAAAAAACATTTTGCTGGCTATGTTGTTGTTTACCTCACTTTTATAAGATATTTTACGAACAGATACGAGTAATATGAAGCGAATATTTTTGGTTTTAAATGACTATGGAATGCACAATCCTAAAAAAATTGTTGCTTGAAACATTCATGTACCAGTACAACGTAAATAAGTTTATGATGCAAAAAACATACTATACATAGTGGTAATCTGTCTTAGAACTGACTCGGGAAACGAAATTTGTTTTAATATTAGGTAGTATAATGTATAGACCATTTTAAACACTTCAAAAAAATTGATCCGTACACTACCAGGCTACGTGTAATTAAAGCTTCTGAAAAGTAAAAATTTCATGCATCGAGATTTGTATGTTACTCTTCAAACTTTGGACTAAAAGACAACAATGAATTACTTCTAAATTTAAAGGATCTGTAATTTCATCGTTCTTTGGTATAATCAATTGACCCTTTCCTAGGGTTTATGATTTGATAGACCTTTAAAGTTGTCGTTTTCTCGTTGGATGTTTGGTAAACTTAGGTTCTCTGAAATAAATCAATACTCATTGTAATTCCTTAATTGTAATACAACTCAGTATTGTAAATTGAGGTTGATTTTCTATCCTCTTGTTTCAGTACTATTGATAAAGAGTAAGGCGTCGATTTAAAGAATATATATATATATATATATATAGTCTAAACAATTTATATTTTAATAATCGTATAGTTAAACAAGTAAAAGTTCCAAGAATCATGTTGTAAAATATCTGGTTGTTCATTCTTATTTACAAACCGGCAATTGTGATTTCTTCTATCTTATCTTGTAGACTCTTCTACAAATCTATATCATGACTTGCAGATTGATGTAAGTTCTATATGTTTAAACATTGTTACGGTTATATACCGGTAGCTTTCACCAACTTTTTTTCTGTTGTTATGCAGATCTTGTTTTCCTTTCTGATAAATTTAATGATTTTTTTCGAATTTTATGTCGAGAATCAATCTTGAATGGTTGTGTAATAGTAAAAGATGTCAGTTAGTGGTTGAAGCACTTTCGCCTCAACTTTATTTGTTGGATCGTAGGTTTAAACAATGCATCCATCTATCTTATTTCGATCAACCGGATAATCTTATTAGCTATCATATACAAAATATGTGACCTGAAATTGAGTGAATTAACCTGTATAGGACGGATGAAATGTGGCCTGAAATGGGTTTGGTATGAGCGTCTCGTCCCACTTGATACTTGTCAACTGGATGTATATTAAATTTTGGTCAATTCTAATAAATAATTTCTATATTTTATTAAAAAAACCCTTTTCCCCTCTAATTTTATAGGATTTTAAATTTTTCTTGAAATGCACAAAACAAGGTTTACACTTTCTCAATGATTTACTGTTGGCTCGATCCAATCTTCTAAAATACCAGTTATCAAATGATTCCATGCCTATTAAAGAAAGGTTTGTTTTATTAACTCACCAAACTATATTTATAAAATATATTTATTCATGGGTTTACGGGGTTTGAGAAGACTATCGATGTTTCTGGTTAACATCACGGACTAACTTTAGTTAGAGTACCACAAAAAATTAACGAGCCCGAGTATGTTACTCCTTAGCGATATGTAACCATGATTCTATCGGGGTTCAAACCCAGGACTTCCAGGTATCCTGGAAAGGCCTAACGTCTAAACCATTGAGTCCACTTCTATTGGTTTACATGTTGAACTTCAATCATTTCGCGATATTTTGTAAACATTTTCGAATGCTGTTAGTAGATAACTACCTCATACTGGACACGTTTGGACTTCACTACTTACCACGCCGTTTAGGTCGGTACAGACTACCTGATTGAGGTCTTCGTGATTATCGCAACCGATCATTAGAGACCTTGAATAATGTGGCTCCAAATTGTTCTCAGTGGCGTAGGTGCATTCACTCTTTGTCTTCCCTTACCTCTTACATTTCCGAATCGTTCACAATCTTTTTTCTTATCACCTCAATAATTTATATTTTCTCAACTTTTATTTTACATGCCTAATCTTTCCTATTACGGTTGTTGTTGTTACTATCTCTACTATTCAGGGATTCTCCCTGGCGATTTCATCTCACTGCCAATAGGATGTGGTAACTTGAACCGATGTACATACGTTCTAGGTCTTACGTTGAGTATGACTGAATGGCTGACCTGTTTATTTAATGTTTTCATCAACAGTGCTTTAGCTTTCAATATGTTTAACAAGATGTAATTCATAGATTATTAACTGTTGAAAACACTTAGTAGATTTAAAGACAGACTATAGTAATTGTGGGACATCTATCTTATCGTTTTTATCATGTAAAATGAGGACACAATGAACAAAATGAACTGATCAAATTATGTTATAATACTGTTTTACCTAGCAATATTTTTAGTCCATGGAGTTATTGATTGGTGAATTGTACCATTTCAGAATATGCAGACGGCCTGGTTGGTGAGGTTCATACAACAGTCGTTATTAACAGTTGAGAATCTTGGGTGAAATTGTTTAGAATTGATTTAAATAGCTCAAGTATATGAATTGTTTCTTTGTTTTCATCCGTATTTTCAGTTTTACTTATTTAACACACTTTTCACTCCTCTTTTGGCATTTTTTAGCGGTTGATGTTATCTCGAACATTTCAATTTTCAATTATATTTGATCTTTTTGGGGATTATATTTATCATATTGAGATTTTCATTGTAGTTTGTTTTTTGCTCTCGATTCTGTAGTCCTGTTTTAGTCTTTTACCGTTCAGTATTCTATGGCTACTGTACTTCACTCGGGTCTTTCGCAATCCAAACAAGGATTAAAAAAGAACAATGTTTGTTCTTAGAAACTTGAATAACTGAGATACCTCAACAAAATATTATAGTTTATGTAAATCTTGCATGACAGTCTTCTCGCTTGTCTATTCGTGCCGATTAATTGAAAAGGGACCAATCAACGAATTCTGATTTCAACCCGATTAGATCATATAGTAGTCAGTATCTTACTATATGAACCAGCTCTTGTCTCGTTAATTTATTTACAAATACTGTAATATTGTATTAATCACTTTATTGTATTTTTCGGTTTACATCTTTATAGTTCTTCAAAAGATAATTTGGAATTCATATCAGTTATTGGATTTTATTTATCTAAAATGATTATCTATGCTGATGAAACAGTAATGCACGAGTTAATCAATACAACATCGTTATCATCTTACAGTATGGAATGTAGATTCAGTATTCTTGATGAAGAATTATCACACTTAATCTATGCGTTTACTTCATGTCATGGAATAACTGATTGTGCATTAAAACATTTAGGCTATTCGTTGAGTACCAGTAGTCATATTACTTCGAAAGAATCAGAATTTTCGATGAATTCAACAATGTTAGTGAATAACTGGCCATTATGGACAGAATCACATGTTTTCTGTTTATTATCTGGTCATATGCTTAGTATATTACGAGTTACAGATTCAATAATTATCTTGGAAGATTCTATCAAATCCTTTTGGTCAAATTTTTTGACAAGTATACAAAATATGATCTTATCAACATGGGAATCATCAATAATTAAAAAGATCATTGTTATTGAACATTGTATGATGGATATTCATCCTAATTTACTACAATTTGCTTGTTTTCTTGCTGGACAAACACCGGGATTAACAGCGAAAAAGCAATTACTCATTTTATTAACTCAATTATTTTGTGATTTGCATAAAACTATTTGGAAAAAGCAATATCAACACCAACAACAATTCATCACAGAAAGCAGTAATGTTCACATTTCTTCTGTGAAACAACAAATCACGCATGTTTATTATCTTTGGCTACGTTTGATTGTTATTTTACGCTATATGCTACATTATTTCTACATTCCACCAAATTACTTATCACATCAACTAAAACCTTGTATGTTTTTACAACCCAATCAAAATAATAGTAAACGAAAGGAATGTATGATTTGGGAATATTCAACTATTGCTCAATTATCATCAAAAATACACCCATACTTTTTACCTTTACCATTGACAGATAATAAAAATAATATCCCTTTCTTTTATGATCTATTAACTGCAGCCAGTCAATCATCATCAGGCGTTGATCAGTCATCAAATTTAACTCCTGTTGGGATTAGTAGTTCTAAAAGAACTGGTACAAATTTAAGTCTCCCGTCTCCTGATGGATTAGTAAGTTTGAAAAATACATACAGTGTTAATAGTTTTCAGTGTTTTAGCAGATTATAACACAAAATAATAATAATAAGGTTTATTATTCGGGTTGAATTATCATTTATTCATTGAAAAATACTCAATTGTGGTAGACTGTTAGTGTGGTCCAGCGAAGCTATAGGTCACTAATTAATGTTTAACGTTCAATCACCGATTCGCAGGTTTGGGCGAGCCTATAATTCCTGAACGAGCTAATCAGAATGGAGTCATGCGCCTAGTTTAGTGCGAAATACCCACCTACGATCGACTCAAAAGGGTTTTATAGTTGAGCGGCTATAAAAAATGGGATTACTGAGAAGCTCCATTATTTGGCGTTTTGGTGTTATTATGAGGACTGCCGTGGCGATATGGTATTTCGTCGTAAAATATGTTGGAGGAAGAAGTCTACGAGAACAGGGACATTTTTTGTTCAGTCCTGAGTGACAGGCTTTGCTGATTGTTAAAAACTTGATAACATAAACACCATTAACGCTGGCTGTATCCCTTGCAGATATCACTGAAGCTACGGCAGTTCAGTGGTCCGAGTTCTGCAGGGTCACTTCGAGGAATCGGAATGATCGTAGAAATCGGTTAAATTGGTCGTCAGAAAGTGCAAATTCCATAGAGGAAAAGGTGTTAGAGGAGACTGGGTAAGTAGGAGTACCTTAGATATATATTTAGAATATCTTGGGTGTATACAATAATTCATCACCAACAGGCTACAAATCTGAAATGAGTTATACGGTCGGGCCTGTTACCACCATATACACAGATTACTAGAGGGCATATATATGTCAATCTAAACTTGGTAACGTAAATCCTGTTGTTGTTTTCAATAGATATTTTGTTGACTTCACAAAAGGAGTACACACTAACTGTATAGAAGCAATGTTGTTGAGGCTAAAGGAATTTCTACAAACTTGTCACGGCCCTGAATGTCGACTGTTGTGGGGTCACATGGATCAGTTCTTGTACCGTATGCATTATGATTTCAGAACGCCGGACTCTTTAACCTGATTAAGTTTTTAAATCATGTTTAAGAAGAGTATCCACTCTATTTCTTTTTTGTTGCATAATGAATTTACACTCTATACCAACTGTTTTCTGATTGGCTGAAACCCCTCAGGATCACTTGTGTTTCATTCGAAGGTCGTCCATAATTTAGTCTCGTCTTTGATCCTACTATAAGGTTCATCATTTTTCTAATTAGAATCACCTCGTGATACATGCTCGTATTTTAGCTTTACATTAAGGTAGAATAATCAACCATAATTTTCTCAAACTATACACTTGGTTTTTTTTAATGAATTTAATTTGCTTTACTGTAATCACGCTTTTTTATATTTTCCATTCACAGGCTGTCTCATCATTAGCATCACTTAATAATTATCATGACCTATTCACCTCTCTCCTTGATTACATGAGTTCTCTTCTTCTGACGGATTCATTTAATAAAATGTTAACTAATCCATATCCTATTCTTACCGAATGTTGTCAACTACCATTGTGCACTTATGGATTAGCATTACACTGGAGATTATTAGAAATTCTTCCACCACCGCAAGAACTTTTAAAAGATTTAAGTCTTTTCATTGATTTATTAACGATAAAACCATCACAGAAGACAGTTATCAATCTTCAAAGTGTTTCAAAGATATTCTTGTCACCGTCATATTATCTGTATTTAATAATTTTGTTAGATAGAATTCAACAGAATCCTACTCAACCAAATTATCAGTTTTCTTCAGGTATCTGAGTCTTATTTTATATTCATTGAATGTAGCTTATCAACTTTTATTACCAAATTTTATTGTTGATATTTTCTACTAATGTCAAAACAAATGAATAAGATATGCAGTCAACCAATCTTATTAGGTGAATACTTCATTTAAGAATAATAATAAAAAAGATTTTTTATGGAACAATGATTTAATCATGCGTGGATATTCAGTCTCTAAGTATAAATTTTCTTGAAGTGAATTCTGTTTAAACAGTCAACTTACTATCTCTCTAGCCGTTATATAACTGTTCATAAACACTTACAAAGATAATTAGTTTCATTAACATTTCTTTTTATAATACGAGACTGAAACAAATTCAAGCAACATTAATACCATAAACGTGTTTTTAGAATTCTCTAAGTGATCGGTTTAAATTTGTCTCATGTTTTTTGGGAACAAATAACTGCTTATGTTAGTGAAGGTATAACAACGGAAACTCTTGACCTTGAAATAGCACTGTTTTCTACCATGTTTTTTAAATAGTAACTGTAAAATCTTCTGTTTATTAATAGATAAATATTTCCTTTTTTTCTACAACCTAGTAAGTATTCCATGATCTATTTTTCGATTTAGGCTTTGCAACTGATGATAGTCTACCGCCGAAATCGAAGTCCGAATCATCTACTGTAACATCCACAAATACTAGTGCCATTACGACTAGTGGTAGTAATGCTAATTTACCTCCAGTAACCAGTAGTCGACCATCGACGTCATCATCATCAGCTTACTCTTTGTTGGATTCGAGAGCGAATTTGTTGGTGCGTTTAATACTATTTCTATCAGTGATAATTTTATAAGTATTTTCACTAAACAAATAAACTTCCTGTATTTTCATTATTTTGTTTATTACTGATGGTTTCCAGTATGTGATATGGGTCGTTATGATTTATATTTGATCTTTCCTTTTGTGCAATATCAATTATCACAGGTTATATACCAACTAGTCTTGGGCTGGTTTCAGATTGATCAAGAATTATCTTATACCGTAAGGACGCTCACTATGAGATGTGTAGTTTGTATCAGTGTGATCGCACTGTACTACTTCTAAAAAAAATCAAGCGATAGCTTAATAATCGGAGAATTTAACTTTTAAACACAAAGTCCCACGTTCAAACCCCACTTTACACACTTCGCTTTGTGGAATCGGGTCGTATCACTGGCCATCACACTTAAAATGTGGCCCCAAGTCAAGTACACTAATGTGTACTCGGTGATAAGTTAATAAAAAATATACGGCCTCTATACAGCGTATGAATACATATAAATCAGGAATAAATTAGTTAACTCTTCATATTTAGTGCATATACGTGGTACGTAGACATATACATATGATTTATCTAGATGTAATTTATAATCCTAATATCTATGGAGCGATTTTCAAGTGGTTAATGGATTCGGCTTCCATCAGTTAGGTCGAATTTTCGAACCCAACTCCTGTCAAAATATGGTATCATTTTATTAAAATCAAGTAAGAAAGTGAATTTTCCATATCTAATCTCAATGTTTCTACGTGATTATGTAACCAACATATCCATCATCAGTTCAAAATAAACATTACATAACATTTCTTCTACTATTAATCTTCATATTCATTCATGTATCACAAATATTTATTTAACAGTGATAACTACACTGATGACATTCTTAGTCGTTAATAAAAATAAAGTCTTAATTTTCAGTGAATTTAATCACTTTCAATCTTTTATTTGATATCATTACTAACAGAAAGAATTGAAGCGTTTAATTCATGCTCAGTGTCCAAGTAAACTATCAAATGATGGTGAGTCAGAAGAAGCAAAGGTTAATGTGATTGAAGGAGCGATCAATAAATTAATATCCCTAGTACATCCTATAGCCTTATTTTCATTCTTATTCGAATGTGGTTTCCTTCAAGTGAAGTCATATTCAGTAAGTTTTGTTGTTATGCACTATGGGTTATCTGTTCTTTTGAACATAATCTACATTATGCAGTAATTTTAGTTAGTCGGTTGTAGTGTTAGCCCCTCCAGATGAGTGACGTACAACTATCATCCACTGACATTAACAATATCTGCCTGACACTCTTGACCTGGTTGAACTCCAGTAGTTAAACGGTTTTTCAATTGTAGAATACTGAGGATTCATCTGGAAGTCCGTAAGCACTAGTGAATAGAATGTTTTGTAGTTATTGTTTAAGATAGAAAACGAGTTTGGATCACAGACTGACTTCCGTTAAATGACTTATCAACTAGGGAGATCTTGGTGACTTTCGTCCTACTCTGGGACAAGTCGTACTTCAGTTAACTGCTAGTCTCACTCATTTCTTTCTGTCTCTCTCTTGGGTAGCGGTAATTTAATGTAATACATTTGCGATTAACTAATTATATTTTTCGATAAAAGTTTCTACTTATCATTAACAGCACAGAATGCACAAGTTTAATCTAAATATAAGAATAACTCAGATAGATCATGATAAACTACTAGTTGCTTGTATCCTTACTTAGCATAAAAATTGAACATGGAGCATTTTTCTGAAACGTAAAGTAGTCATCTATGTTGATTTTTTAAAACTTTTTACCAGAACAATGACCGTAAATATTTATTTTGACTACTGATAATTTATTTTTTAATTTTTCAACCCCCCAGTTGGTGTTAGATTCAATTAAGAAGAGTTTCAATGGAATTACTGTTGGGCAGTTGTCTTATTTATGTAGCTTATTTCAATTTCTAAATACTTTAACATCACAATTGTCAGTATTAAATGATTCTAAAAGCACAAAACCAATTAATACTTCCAAATCATATACTGACACTGTAGAACCTGTAAAACGTGCTGGTAAGCATAGAACACGTCATGCTGCTGGTAAAGGACGTACCATTTGTTCCACGGAAACTACAAAACAGTCTAATAACAATACTGAAGCAACTACTCCAAAGGAAAAGAACAGTATCTGTCTGTTAGATACAGCCGTTTTGGACTCAGCTTTACAAGATACTATTGTGTCTTCTGTAAATTCAACAATTGGTAATAACACCAATATAAGTGGCGATAAAAATCTGACATCTAAAGAGGTAAGAGTAACTTGAGCTAGATTACTTTAACAGTACATTTTATCAATACCACTTATTAATATGTGTGTGTTTCTTTGTGTCAACCGATTTCATCATTACCGATGTTGTACACATCAATTCATCAGACTTAACCAATGTATGATAAACATGACTTTTATCATGATTTGATACCAGTCAACGAAATATTGGAAGCGAGGTAGCAGTAAACAGTTGCTTTGTCTTTTTTTGAACAAACATCTACATTAAATCCAAGATCTTGATTTCCACTCCATAGTATGGTAATAATCTTTACTTCAAACTCAATTGTCATCTGTCCACTTATATCGCTTGTAAGTCTCACATAAATAAACCCCACTGAATTCGGAGTCTGTCAGAAGTATGTCTCGGATTCCTGAGGTACATAATGTGAAATACACATGTGGTTCTGTTTTTCGTGAAGATTAGTGTTAAAGATGATGGAATCATCAACAAACAATCGACGTTAAACAAAGACAACGAGAAAAAAAAACAAAAAACTAATGCACTATTTTTGTTGATTCTAATTTTCTACTTTTTGAATTGAAGTTGGTTAGTGTTATATGCACTGAGTCGACTGAGTCCCTATTGAAAATCAGAACACATTAAATATATGTTTTGTCATAGTATTATATTCAAGTACTCACCCATGACCTCCATCTGTAATCGAATCTAGAGCCATGAAGTTTCGTTGCTTGTTGATCGTTTGTTTCGAAATCTAGTGATTTGTAGTTCATGTGGATTATCGTTGGCGAAGTTTCGTTCCTTGAGTTGGATAGCTTAATCGCGAAGCTTTCATTGTTCTTCTGAACAACATCAGCACAAACTCCTGGTAAAAGTGAGTTATTCAAAATTTTCCACAGATAACTGACAACTTGTCGAACTTGGTTGCTTATTGTTTACCTTTAATCGTCTGGATACTGATTTTGATTGTTTTTTTAACTTGATTCTGGATCCTATCTTTATCCCTGAATTTTCCAAATGCGTGATAAATTGGATTGATTTCGATGTTTGTTTGTTGCTGATTGATGTGAGTGCCAGACTTCGAAAACTATTTTTCATATTATTCCTGTCCAAAGTTTCAACATTCTTACAGTCCAATATGTGTCCTCAACTTTCCACGTGCATTAATATTGGAGAAACTACATCGTTGGGCTCGACGGTTAGTTAGTGTTAATGCAGACAGAGATGAAAAGGACGCCCAGTTTATCCGATATCGTGTTTCTCGCAGTTGGAATAGTTTTTTTGTAGGTGATGTTCGGCTTTACATTTGTAATTTCGTCCTTTGGTTTGTATAAGATTGGTTATATTCAGCTTCATGATTTACCATTCAAACTCCACCAAAAACGCGATGTGATCTAATACTATTGGTTTCTTATCCCCGACGTAGTTAAACTCTGCCAGTCAGTACTTCTCACTAGATCTTTAGTCACTAGTTCATTTTTGTATTGGTTGTTTAAGTCTTCCCATTAATGTTTAGGACTGAAATTCATCAGTTTCATATTGGTATATGTGCATTCTGTGTGGATTGCTTCGATATTGCCTGAAGTCACAAGCACTATAAGCAAAGATGGATGGTGGCTAGCAGTGGAATCCATGACGCGCGTCTCGTCATATTTGGGGCTCGTCAACTGGATGTACCTGCATCCCAGAGTTGATTTTCATTCCGGGACTTGAACCCATTACCGTTCGCTTCAAACGTCGTCACGTTATCCACTTAGCTACTTGGTCACCAGTGAACAGAATATTGATATGTGATCAAGACGGTGTGAATATTTCACTTGAATTTTTTTTGTCACAGATCAAATTCACTTTGAACGAACATACATTATAATGACGGTTAATCGCGGTCTGAAATATTATAGCTTGTCCAAGTGTATCTGTGTCGATATTTGATCTTTTTCTAATGTTATCTTGTTTGTGTATTTCATGTTTTCCCTTTTCAGTTATCTGCTATGTATTCACATTCGTTGCATACTGGGCATAATTTGCTAATAACAAGTTTACAGATAATGTATAAATTATGCTATCATATTCGATCTGAACTTGGTCTACCTAATTGGAATGATGTGAATATTAACGAATCATTTGTGTCAGGGCCATCAACTATAGAAAATATTGGATCATTAACATTGTTGTGTCCTAATCGTTTAATGAAAGAGAATTATTTGCCGTTCAATTGTACTTCAAATCTCTTAGCTCGTAGGCGATTGGCTAATAGTCTTAGATTAGCTACAGTTATTTACGGTAAACAGTTTGGCCTATTGAATGAAGTTGCAACGAAATGTAATTCCAATAAATGTATAGAATTGAATCAAGTAAGTTGTGGAAAGGATCATTTTAACTAACGTTTAAGGTGTTATTGTATTCTGAAGTTGGATTATTTTCACGGTGATACTATTACTACCAGTAGTGGTTGCAAATTTTAAGCCTCTGAGTTGTACAAATATTTACTAAATGGTCAAGGTTCACTATTAGAATGATTTAATATTTGTTCAGGATTGTTCAATAGAACATCTCATAAAGCGTTTACAAAACCAAAGGCTAGATCATAATATCAGGTTGTATCGTTTTGTTACTGAATAGAATAAAAGTGGTATGAAAATGAGGCTATCGATTAAAATTGTATACATGTAATTATTTTTTGTTATTTAGTTCTCTAGTTTGGGGAATGTAAACAAATATTCATTAGTTATGAAAAAAATTTTCTTCTAAAAGATTCGTACGTTGACTGTTTGTCATATACTTCTATGGTGTATGCTATTTATGTTTGTCCATATAAGTAGTATGTAAAACCAATCTGAAGTGGAAAACTTGACGACAGAAGGCTAAAAAGGTCGCGTTGAAGGGAATAGAAGAATAAATAGAAATGACTTGTGAAATTAAAGAATCGTACAGAATGTTGAGGACAAGTGATAGAAACTAGCAAATGGAGTATTCAGTTTATGGTTCTTATATTTTATCAAGATACTCTGCAATTTGTATTAAAATGCATTAGTTTTCCCCACCTATGTTCTCGTTCATTACGCTTCTGCTGTTTAATATCTCATGACCACAATACTCCACTTGACTCTTTCTAAATCTTCAATTATAATTTATGGATGAACCAATGAGATTTAAGATAACGGGTGTTGGATTTTAGCGCAAACTCCATCCATTTATTTGGCTAAATACTATTTCGGCATTATAACTGATGCCGGTTCGTGATGAAAACCTTAAGTTTTATTCCTAACCCTAACCATCAACTGTAAATCATAACTTTAGTTCCTCACACTGCTTTATAACCCTCATTTAGTCCTAGTTAGTAGGTGGACATTTTTAAGGTCATTTTAGCGTTACTCAAAGGTCGTCCATAAATTATAGTCACCTCTTCAACTATCTTCTTGGTTCGTCCGTTAACATTGATTGCTTGAAAATATTCTAATCCGCATATTCAGATTTGAGCCTTATCAGAACATGCAATCAATGAACTCTAACATGCTAACGCTAACTTTGATCATTTATGATTAAAATCACAACATTCCACATGTTCCAGGTTAAATTTTCACATTGTAGTATATGAGCTATGTATAGTAGTATATTAGTTTAAAGTTTTTCTGTTACTGTTGCATGTGCTATTGTTACCCACTAAAATAATTATTTTTTCCTCTGATTTTTTCTCCGATGCTCATTTTAGTCACTAGGCATTCTTTTACCATCTTAGATGTTAAACTTTTACTTTCAGTCTAATACAGACACCTATTACAAGTCGTCAGGATTTTCGATACCTATATATGTTTTTTTACAAGATGAAACTGTGTTCTTAAGGTTGTAGAATGTCTAGATATGGAATTTGTAGTCCATGTAAAAACTAATATATAGATAAATTACTACTTTGAAAAGTATATTTCTACGTAAAATTATAGATCAAGCTTTTTTTGATACCTGAGACACTTGTTTTTCAATCATTTTATTTCCCGTTTCACACCGATGGGTAATAATGTCTGGGCATCTGGGTAATATTACTAGTCCCTACACAAAGGGTATGGTTTAGAACCGAATTTTCAAGACATACTTGTTTACATTAAGTTGAAAACCTTTGATCAACGCTCACTTTATAATGAATTTTTTAATTGATTCTATCCCGTTACAATTTAATTAGCCTTCGTTCGACACTGAGGTACGCATATTTTCTAACTTGTTCTGTTTATTTTACTACAAACAGTCGGATAATATAGTGAAAACCTCATACATTAAAATCAGATGCTTATATTTAAATTTCTGTTACGGTGTCGTTTATGATGTTAACATTTTAAGCAGATAATTATTGTATTTTCCCAATATATTGTGAATATATTCTGGAGTTGCATTTACTCTTACCTTATTTTTGTTTTCCTATCTACCATTTACAGTTTAATTCAAATTTATCGCAATGTTTCTATCAAATATTAACATATCAGTATGAATTAACTGTTTATCAGTTGACAACTAAAAACGATCATTCATCTGATGATGGTAGTATCAAATCATCCGATGCCACAACCTCAACAGTAAATGAAACAACATCAACAACTACCAACACTACACCTGAATTTGCTAAACATCTAGCTAATCGTTTGAAATTATTTCAAGCATGTTGTCTGTTAAAACATATTTATGAATTGTGTACATCATTAGTAAAACAATTGTTTAATTTACAAGAGAAAATTCGTTATTCAAATGATTCTGATTTAGAGCATACATTGTACAAAGAAAGTCATTATGGTCTACAACTCATCGCTACTATGCATTATGATCCTATTTTCACTGCTTTGCATATTGACTTGATTTGTAATAATGAAGAAGTAGAGAAAATGTCACTATCAGTTGCACAATATTTAGCATATCTTTGTTGCATACATCGAACTATGTCAACATCTAAGTTATCATCACCTTGCAAAATAAATAGTGCTGAATGTCAGATGAAAAAGATTTTAGATTCATGTCAGTTGAAAAAGTTGATAAGTCGTTCGTTGGAAGACAGACTTGTTTATATTGTGTGTTATATGGCTAGATGCCTTTCAAATCCAAGTAATTTGTTGCTTTATTCAATTTAATTCACTTTTAATTGAGTTTATTAATGTTCAATTTGTTTTCATTTCCTTTATATATTGAATTTAACTTTTGTTGTTTATCAAATAATTGAGGTGTAAGACGTCAAAAGTGGTTAGTGCTCATTGAATTTCGAATGTAGTGAAGCTTCTCTTACGAGAAATGATATTTTAATAACACTGTCTGGTCAACCAATGATTCTTACTACCCATCATACAAAAGGTTCATTCTTTGTTTATTGGTTGGCGTAATTCCTTTAAAAGGTCAAATCATAAGTTTGAACCCTGATTTATCTATTTCGGCTTGCGAAACCTCATTGTGTCTCCATCCTTTACATAAAGCGTAGCTCGAATCCAACTACATGGATCTGTACTTTTATACATAATTCTATCATCTTATATGTTTAGTCCTGAAAGTCAATAAAGAGATAAAACTCATAAATCGACAGGGAATATGATGCATTTAATTATATCTTTTTGCCTTGGAAGCATAATTAATTAATTGATGATTTATTTACTAAACGTTTTCTATATTGTTGATCTTTTTCTCTTTCTTATAGGCAAAAGTCCCCTTGAATCTCGTGTCTGTTCATATGTCTGTCGTGAAGTTATGGGATTTCTAGAAATTGTATTAGGTAATCACCGCATCCTAAAGCAATTTTTATTATCGCCATCATCGTCTTCATCTATTGATGTGAATAAAAATAATAAAAATATTACTTCTCACGATTCAACTACACAATCAATATTAACGATAATTCAAAGAACTATCGTCAATAAAGAACTTTTCATGAGTTTATTCTCATCATCATCTATGTCTTGTATTCCACATCAAGATGTGTATCTACTGAAAGGCATACGAATATTAAATGGACCTCCTTCACTTACATACCAAATGTCATCCTTACGTTTGTTATGTGTTCTTCTTATGCGTGGTAAGCTGATGTAAAAATGTGAATGTTCAACGATCACATCATACTTCCAGTTATATTTTTTAATTATTAGTCTATATCTGTATTTCAGAATCCTTTTCAAACTGAGAAAAATGCAGACAGTATAGTGTACAATTAATTTATTCTTAACTGTTTGTGACTATTCCATTATTCTGTAAAATAGAGCTTGACAATTTCTACTTTACTAACAAGTTATGTATGTACACGAGGTAGAAGTTTAAAAAGATTAAAGATGCGTATATTGATTGATCTTGAGTACATTTTCTGATAATGCTGTTTCTTCACTAAAACTATCTCTTATTATACCAATCGGGACTTGAAGACTTTTGATTAAGTAGCAGTAAAACTTACTCAGTAGTCATGTATTTATATGTATTTATGCGAAAAAGTTAGTGGAACTTGTACAACAGTTTATGGTTCTGACATTACTTTGGTTATCAAAATGTTTATAAATTATCCATATCGTAGGTGTTAAGGGATTTGACTTCCAGCCGTTAGATGAGAAGCTCGAAACCTACTTCACCTACTTCAGTTTGGACTACCGAGTTGTACTACAAACTCACTCTGAATGTATCTCGGGACCGTCTACACTAAATTGCATGTGGTAAATGAGTTAATATAAAAGTAGTAATTTTAGTTTAACCGACGTTATCTAGTTAACCTGTTTACCATGTACATATTCATGTACTTGACTTCGAGCCACACTGTAATTTGTAGGACTAGTAATATTACTTAAATCGAAGTAAATGAAGCGAATTTTGAGCTTGCAACTTGGTGACTGAGAATCAAATGCCCACCGTCCTGTTACATTATCTACTGTCCAAATAAATGATACAAATTAATTAAAGTTATTAATATGAACTATTGAGTTTCAACTACTTTTAACTATATGTTTCATGACCGACGACAAGTATTGTTGTCTCTTACTCAGCTGAAGCCCTTTTTTGAAAGGTCTTTTGTTCTGAGATTTGAATTAATGTGTATTTTGTAACGTTATAAAGTTTATTTCATTGCTCATTTTCTTTACAGCTATCAATGCATCTTCAAAAACTCGTAGCAATTTCACTGAACTTGTAAAATTAGCACTAGAATCGTGTATATTTTATCCGTGGAAATCACTAGTATCTGAAACTAATCAGACAAAAACATTATCTTCTTATTGGCTAGAAAATATACTACCCAATATGGAGTTATTTGATCAAAATAACGATACTGAACTATGGTTTACTGATTTACTAAATAATCATGACTATTTACTATCACATAATCAAGATTCATTTACATTATCATTTGAAACGGAAGAAGATCTACTAACAAATGATGTATTTAATAGTACGATAAATAATATTAATACTGCCTATCGAAATTTGAATTGTGAAGATCATGTTAACGTCAACTGGTTACTTGATGCCAATGTAGCCTCGATGGTGAATAATACTACACATCTGATTAATGAATGGAAACAGAAACGATGCTTATATTACATAGCTTTATATTTTGAACGTTTCACAAGACTGTTAACATCTAATTGGACAGATGATGTTAGTTTACGCGAAAAAGTGAGTTGAAATTTTGTATGTTGTTTTTTTCAAAGAAAATTATTATCATCATCGAGAGAAAATTTCCAGTGTGGATCAATTTATTGGAATGGTTTATAGAAATGGTTTAATTTTATAGTTTACGCCACGGACTAATCATAGTTAGAAAACCATTCAAAACTCAGAAACACTGGATATCTGTTTCGTCTCATCATGGGACTTCTTAGCAATCCACACCTACAACTTATTTAGAATCGAACATTGGGGTTCCAGGTTAGATACGTAGTGAAGTGAAAACGTTTGAGTTGATTCGACATTTACTCTGAATTTACTTTTTAGAGTAAAGAAAGTTGTCATGTACATTTCATGCATTTTTCACTCCAGATTTAATTGGAAATATTTTATTTCTGTAAAATATTTCCTTTATTTTTATTGAGTACATGGATTGTAGCTAACTTTGGAATCCAGGACGTGTGTTTCTCTCCGTTTTGAACTCGATCTCAGTGCCTCTTTTGCGCTAGTCATTCATCGTGTCACTCACTAAGCTTCTGTGCAAAGATAGTCACCAATGGATTTGACGTTTATATCCTTATTAGTAAGGGTTTGGATTGTCTAATTGTTGATATTCATGATTGCACTCTGATCGGTCGTTATTGGCATATTTGGGTCCTCTATGGGTTGCCTTCAAGTATTCTCTGGTTGTATATTTCTTTCTAATTCAGTTAGCTAATCTAGGGAAAGCCAAAAAAAACCCAGTTTTCTAAGTACCTGTTAACATGCTGTATCAAACAAATATTTCCTACTTCTTGGAGACATAAACTTCAAGGATGTCATAAATGTTTCTAATGTTGTCCTAATGTCTATTTTTCATTTAAGAAGATTACATGATAATCAATTGGATGAATTCATGTTTCAAGTTGATATGTTTTTATTATGATGCAATGGCGCAGGTGCATTCACTCTCTGTGTTCTCTCAAACTCTAATCTTCTGTATTCTTCATGTCTTTTATTTTCTTTCCAAATCTATTCCACTGGACTATACTCCTTAAATAACATCTTCAAACCCTAATGTTCCCTATCACTACTTATACTTTCAGTACCTCTTCCACTATGGGATTTGAATCGATAACTGAATCTCTGTGCTAATGTGGTATGGCAACTCGAACTGATGTACGTACGTACGAAGTTCCACGTTGTTACTGACTGACTGACTGACTGAGAATTTTCACTCCATCCAATAGTCGTATACATCTATGGAAACGTTTTAACTATTGGCTATTTACTTATAGTACTTAGATATCATGAAGGAGTAGGGATAAAATAACACTCACTTATCTATGTTTATTCAGTTGATCAAATAATTATCCGATATAACTGCCTTCTATTTGTGCCTAACTTTAGCATTATCGATTATATCACTATTTAAGTTGTTTCGTTTCTGTATGGTGTTGTTTTTTGTTTTTTTCTTTTTAGTATTGTAATCATTTACTAACTTCAGCTATATCTATCTGGCGTTCTCGTGTAACTTCAAAAAGTAGTAGGAATAATACTATTACTACTACTAAGTGTTCACAATCATCCTCTTCATCTACGTCTATTCCTTCTGCTGCTAAAGAGGAACCCGAAAAAGTTAAACATTCTGCAACAGTTGAACACTTGTATGATTTGACATTTCTACCGTATGCTATTACATCATTACATTGTTTGTCATTTGGTTTTACTACAGGTTTTGTACATAGTAAATTATTCAGTTTCTTTACATATTGTGCTAACACTTGCTATGAGTTAATAATGAAACCAGAGATGAATAAAGAAGTAGGCGAACCAGTATGTTTGAATGATATTAATTTACTGCTTTCAATGAGCTTACAACATTATAAACAGGTAAATTTCATTGTAGTTACACTTACAGTTTGCTTTTAATCAGTAGAGCTAGATCCATTTTCGTTTTTTGTTATATGATTTATGTCATATGTGTTATTATATACAATTTCCAAGTCTAATACTGATACATGTTCTTTCTACGTGTGTGCTCAAACGAACTACTTGTATGAAAAAAACCGAGAGTGCATCGGAATCTTTTATTAGCTAACCAAATTAAGAACATATTCACTATTCATTCATGAATACAGATACATATCCTTCAGAAAATTAATTCAAATTGTCAACTAGTGGCGTATGTTTATTTTCTGAGAAAGTGGAACCAAATCTTGACTGATGGTTTTCATCTGTTAGCATTTCTCACTTATTATTTGACTTATGTTTGGTTTGTGGGGCTTATCAAAATGTTCTCGTTCTGTTCTAGTCGTCTAGAAATTAACGGTAGTTATAATTGCTATTTTAATTTTATTTATTTGTCTTATTTATCACTAATGCATGGTGTCATTCGAGTGAAAATCAGAGTCTCCAGATCTGTTTAACTAACCATAGTTAGAGTTGTTTGCCAAGGACATGCACTCTGCTTCGTTAGTACTCAATGAAATAGTAGTTTAGCGATTAAGACTATTGATTTTCATTCACTAGACTATGTGCTCGAACCCTCTCCACGTATATCAGTTTGAACAACAGGGTAGTATCACTGATCCTCTGTATATTATAAAGATTGCGAACATAAACCTTCACGTGATAATGAATTTGTCTGTTTTTATTAGTGTATGGATTCTGACTAGTTTCTGTTATTCGTGTTGTTTAATTTTGTGATATATATATATATATAAGAATTAAAGGATGAATAAATGAAATCATCGACTGAGATAATTAAAGCACATTTTACTTATGCACTGATCACTGCTTACAACATTTCGTAATGTTTTTTTAGTATAAGGTTTGGTTTGAACTGAGCTTAGTGCAGCCAAGCCATGAAATCATTGGTGTCAAATTCGATTCGGTTGACCTAAGGTAATTTTCTAGCTATGATCGACTGAGATTCCACTGTAATTAGTAATTAATGCGAACCAAATAGTGAGGCCATTGTTATATGACGCTTAAGCGACCAGCTCAAACTATAAAACCTACGAGGAAGGCAAGAATACAATAAAAAACTTGAGATTCAGCTCTGAATGCTCTGAAAAAAAGACTACCTTGAGAGAGAGAGAGAAACAAGTAAACTAAAAATGTTAAAAAAACAGTCAGAAAGCATCAAAGGTCATGCGGTGTTCTGAATAAAAAGTTTTTACTATGAGTTATGATTGCTGAAAAGAAGCCAACATTTATTAACAGAAGTATAACAACTTGCTATCCTTTTAACGACCGACTATTTAGAAAGCCATATTGTTGGGTATTGACCAATTGGTTTGGTTCACGTGATTATCGTAGTTAGTGGTTTGTGACGTTAAGTTGTATGGCTCAGAATCGACCATAACCATGTACATGCACTCACTTTCTTTGCCTCACCGTAGTTTCTACTTGAGTGTCTAATGCTTCTTAGTTTTCAATAATCTAAGCTTTAAGTAAAAGTAATTGGTTGGAAAACTTTTAAATGTTTGGTTTTGAATACTTTCAAAGCTAGATAAACATTGCCTATTCATCACTTGTGATTAAACTAGACGTCATGGAGACGGTTCTCACACCAAAGAATTGTAAAATTGTCAATCTTTATATTTTGGTTGGTGGTTTATTTTAATTTTAGCGCATAAGTAATACAATAATCTTTTTTTTCTGTACAAATTTTCTGTTGTTTTTCTAGGATTCATTAATCTGTAGTTTGCAATCAATTT